AACAAGCTTTGAACTAGAAGCTACCCAACAGAATAACGAGGTCTGGATTTGAAAGGGATTACATGAACCGTAAGAGAAGTCACAAGGGCACGGGAGAAGCAGCTCAGCCAGCCCTGGAGGTCTCAATTTGTGGGCGCTACTTTTCAGCGCTAGGTTAAGGTGCTGCAAGCAGGTGTGCTGCCTCCACCTGCCTTACGGCTTTTGCTACCTCTCAATTTCTGATTCATACGAAGGATCCCACCCCCGCCAAATGCCTGTTCTTCATCCGGTGAGACGAAGGACGACGTAGAAACATTTTAAACAAAATGCTCTGGACTGTAAACCATAGCTTACCCCCCCCTTTCTTCTTAGCCAGTAAGAATTTTACGAGCCCCTTATCTTTTCTCTAGACCTGCCTGTCATTTCAGCAAAAGACTTCGAGCCCCACGCTTCCCTGCATGCTCTGCCGGATTAGCAGTTCTGCTTTTTTACGTGTCACCGGGAGGCAAAGCCAAGCCTGCCAGGGAATGGTTGCCGAGGGTGGGGGTAAGAGCGCTCAACCTTTCCCAGGCCACTGTGACGGAGCCGAGGAAGGAGGTCAAGCTGGTTGGTGGCCTCTGTGTGTGCTTTCTGCCTTGGGGCCTCCTCCTCCTCTTCCTTTCACAGAGAAGTCGTTTGGGGATGGTTGCAGAGGCTTCGCAAGCCTGCCTATCCCTCCACGCTGCCAGGATCACTCTTGCAGAAATCCAACAGGCAGGCAGGCAAGCAAGCAAGTGCAAGCTGCAGCTTTCCCTTTGCAGATGAATAGGTGACACACAAGCTGCACAGACTAACTGGGGCATGGAGCACACACCTGGTGAGATGGAGGTCAAGGGAGCTGCAGGCGGAGACACAGCAGGAGAACAAGGTGGGAGTCTGAGGACCAGCTGATCAGAGTGCGGAAGGAACGGAGCATACCGGATACAGGCAACAACCACTGGGTTGCATTCTCAGGCACCACTCGTTTTAAGTGAAATTGTGTGTATTGGGAACACCACTGAAAAAGCCTGCAAAGACCCTCAAAACTCTCCACAGGCCTCGATTGCCAGTGCAAGGGCTCCTGGCATTGCACCTGCAAAGGCTCATGGGATTGCTAGGTGTCGTTTCCGTGCAGTTTTCACCTTTCCTGCGCTCTTTTGGGACTGTTTTCGCCCTTTTCCTAGTCGCTTCCGGGTTCACGGCGATGCACATGCGTGCAGTCATGCACATATGAATGCACGTAAAATGGTCATTGCTTGTACTGACGTAAGAACCACCTACTGGATCAGGTCAATGGTCCACCTAGTCTAGCATCCTGTTCTCACAGTGGCCAGCCAGATGCCTCTGAGAAACCTCTCCCCTACTGTGACTTCCCGTAATGCTTCTTCTGGGAGGAGTGTGAGAGGACTCCAGTACAATTCACAGGTGTTCGGGGTGGTCTCCTTAATCCATGGTTGTACTGGAGGCCTACCGTGTGTCGTGCAGGGAACCACGGTTTAGCAGACAGATTCAAAACTTGCTGTGTCACAATAAACCATGTGTTACAAGCGCATTTGGTCACTGACAAAAGTATGAGTCCCGGAGCAGCCCTGCCGGAGCAGGGCACCGGCCTAACCTTGGGCATTTGGTTTCCAACCCTGGCTAGTTACAGTGCCTCTAGGGCAGCAGAGGTGGTGAGATTCTACTCAGATCTCGTGGTCTAACATGTTTGAGGCTAGGACAGACATCTCTGCTGGCTGGTCACATATATGCAGTTGTACATGGCGGAGTTGTACAACTGGGCAGTGGGGAGGTAGAACCAGATAACAAACAACAACAACAAGCCCAGACAACAACAACAACAACAACAACAAAACCAGACAAGTTTACAGAAGGAAAACAAAGGACTGTGGTGCTGCCTGCCTTTGACAGCTTCAAATAATGTCTAACACAGGGTGACTTAACTGCCTGTTCAGAAGTCTGATCTGACACACGCACACACACTTTTCTGATCTCCCAAGGGCTTACTGATTTTGGCAGTGGCAATGAACATAATAATAAATAAAGGAGACAACAGTGCTGGGATGTGCAGAGTGTGTGCAACTGATGTGTACCACCAGAAAGAGCCTGAATGTGACCGTGTGCGGGTGGGTTTTCTGACCAAACCCTCTATTGATAGGCAGCCTGCAGAGGACTGGCCAAGAGTGAATGTGGCCCTTGAGCATAACATAAAATAATAAAAGTCGAATATGACAAAAAAAATACTATAATATAATAAAATAGGGTGTCCACGCCAGATCTAATAAGGTCCTTGCGACATGATTTTCTTCTCTTCATGGGGAAGATTGTGACGGTTTGTGCAGTTGAGGAGAACACTTGTGCTTTCTCTGAACTCTCATCCATTGTGCAAGCATTTTGTACGGGGTGGAATTAAAATCAGCTGCCCCAATCTTTTGTCCTCCAGTTATTTTGGACTACAATTCCCATCAGCTCCAGCCTGCCTGGGGAAGGGTCAAGGATGACACGAGTTTTACTCTAAACTAGGGGGCTCCAGGTTAAACTGGAGGTCACTGCAGGCTTGCCCAATGGAGGGAAGTTTCCTGCATCCCTCCTATACAGCAAAGAGCGCTGAAGCCCCCCCACAATGGGGCAACCTTTGTTGCTCATTCCTTTGACATTGCTGTGAGGAAGATGCTCATCCCTGCCACTCATTTGGACAACCACAGACTACCATGAAGTCTGTGCCAGTCATTCAGGGGAAGGAGGCTGTTAACAGGTCATTTTCCCAACCATGCCTTCATTTCAGGTTTTAATTAGTTTTGCTAGAGGACTCGCATTTGATAAGAGGCACAGACTTCTGGGGTACTGGAGCAAAAGAGGTTGAGCAAAATAAATCCATCCGGCTTCAATTGCTCATGTTTTCTGGCACCGCAGGCCTACAAGCACAGCACCACTGATGAGAACGGACAGGTCTGGATTTCTAACAACATATAACAGTTTACCCAGAAAGAATCGTGTACCTGACAAGTTGCCTCTTCTGGTTGCACCTCCCCATCTGTTGTCGCCCCATCGGAACAGCCTTGCCATGGTGTTCTTTGATGCTTCCTCTTCCCATTTTAACTATTTCACTGCACAGCACCCCAAGCGACCACCCTTTTCCTGATCCCATACTTCAAAATACTATAAAATCTACTCCTGCCTTCCCTACTCATGGATCTGTTCGTGTTTCTTCCCGGAGAACAAACTGCTTTAGGATCCTGAGGTTTGCAACTTCTTCCAGAAGAGCATGCCTACGTTCAGGGCGAAGAAGCCCAGGCATCCGTTATGCAGAACTGTAGAGCTGGAAGAGATCCCAAGGGTCTAGTCCAAGCCCCGCACACCCGCAAACAATAATTTAGATCAGGGTTTCCCAAACTCAGATCTCCAGCTTTTTTTGAACTACAATTCCCATCATCCCTGACTATGGGTCTTGCTAACTAGGGATGACAGAACTTGTAGTCCTGGAAACCAAAGTTTGGGAGACCCTGATTTAGATGAACATGCTAACTATCAATAACACTGATCCACTAAGTATTTTATCAAGGCAACAGTAGTGGTGAGGAGAGAGAGAGAGAGAGAGAGAGAGAGAGAGAGACTGCGCTCCAGAAACTGAAGGCAGCATGAACTACACTCCTTTAGATGCTTTTGGCTTCTCAGAGCAGTTGTTGGCGCACACACAATTGGCACATTAGAGCGGCTAGTCTTAAGTTACTTTCTGGAGGTTATGTGCTGTTTAATCCTCTCCTGAGAGGTTATGGGAAAAGGTTCATCACGAGGTGATGCCTTGGGTTCAGTATTTTAAGATAGGGCTTGGATTTGAAGAAGCCTCCCTCGAGTATTTTCCACAGGGCGTCATGAGGCACCGGTGCTAGCGCATGTGTATCACGCCATGTCTGGTGTGGGGCAGCTAAGCAGACAGAACAAGCAGCCCCTGTTTAGAATGGCACTGCCCCCCCCTCCAGGGCACTGTAATCTGATGGAAGGCTTGCCCTCTTCATCGGCCTCCAGAGTGCTGATGGATTGACAGGTGTGGAGAAGCGTGATCAAGTGGGGCTCTTACAAAAGGCCAGGAAATGGAAGATATAAAATGAGGAGATGAAAAGCGGTCATGATGAAATTACACAAAACAGTAGTGTGCAAAGCCAGCTATGAGGAAAGGTGCTCTCTCAGTCTCTCACAGTTATCCAGATCGTAATAACCCTTTTTCGATAACGAAGTGTGGGGAAATGGCACGAGAGGTACTTAAGATCCAGAATTGCAGGACCTGTATATCGTAAAGTGGCCTGATGTTTCCCAACGCTCCAGTACCGAGGGCTCTGAGTGATGTGTGCCCCTTGCAGAGCAAACAATGTATTCTGGGCCCATTACTCAGCTTCTTGAGAACACCTAGCTTTCAAACTTAAAGCAAACCCCTACACTTCGCTGTGGGTTAAACCACAGAGCCTAGGACTTGCCGATCAGAAGGTCGGCAGTTCAAATCCCCGCGACGGGGTGAGCTCCCATTGCTCGGTCCCTGCTCCTGCCAATTTAGCAGTTCAAAAGCATGTCGAAGTGCAAGTAGATAAATAGGTACCGCTCCGGCGGGAAGGTAAATGGTGTTTCCGTGCGCTGCTCTGGTTCGCCAGAAGCGGCTTAGTCCTGCTGGCCACATGACCCGGAAGCTGTACGCCGGCTCCCTCGGCCAGTAAAGCGAGATGAGTGTCGCAACCCAGAGTCGGTCACGACTGAACCTAATGGTCAGGGGTCCCTTTACCTTACACTTCTACACAAGTGTGCAGGCACATCGCTCCCTCTCAGCTATTCCTTTGTGCCCCTTTTTTGCCACAAAGCTATGAATTTCTGGGGGCAGGAGTCTGCAGAAACGCTGCAGTCGTAATAAGCATACTAACCTGCTGAACCCGGCACATCTCCACAGTCCAGCCTCAGACCCGTTTCCAAACTTCCACCAAAAGCACAAAGGGGTGTGTGTCTTTCCCAGCCCTTACCTGGCTGCGGTGGATGAGGAGGGGGCATCTGGTGGTGCATCATGGGATATGGAGGAGGCTGCTGGTGAGACAACAAGCCCGGGTGGCTGGGTGTCCCCAGAGGGTTCATGCCAGGGCCGCTGGAATGCTGGTGGGACTGCTGGACGTTCTGGCTGTGCTGCTGCTGCTCCATTTGCTGGCGGGCGCGGAGCTCCGCGTACTTCAGCTGCTCCATGTGGAAGTTCTGGCGCTCCGTCAGCAGCTGTTGCCTCTGCTGCTCCAGCTGATGGGGGAAAGGGGAGAGATTCACAGCTGTGTATTGACTGAAAGCCAAGCTATAAAAAACCCCTTGTGCTTTTCCTTCCACATACAAGTCTGTACAGTACAGCATTCCTTGATACAGTGGTACCTTGGGTTACATACCCTTCAGGTTACATATGATTCAGGTTACAGACTCTGCTAACCCAGAAATAGCACCTCGGGTTCAGAACTTTGCTTCAGGATGAGAACAGAAATCGGGCTCCAGTGGTGCGGCAGCAGCAGGAGGCCCCATTAGCTAAAGTGGTGCTTCAGGTTAAGAACAGTTTCAGGTTAAGAACAGACCTCTGGAACGAATTAAATACTTAACCCAAGGTATCACTGTATTCGGTTAAAGCAGTGGCACCCAAACCTTTCCAGGCCACAACCTCCTGAACTAAACCAACACATCCATTACGGAAAATGACACTGCCGAGGCTCAACTAGATCTTGAGCGCCACCATCCACATTTCTGGACTAATGCCCTTTTAAAGCCATCACCTCATCCTGAGGGGGTATATTCTGTAAACAGTGCAATTCGAACTTCAATTTTCTTTTTTTATTGTGTCGTAAAAGCTTTATCAAATAGAATTTTAGAGTTCGAAGGGATCCTGAGGATAATCTAGTCCAACGCCCTGAAATGCAGGAATATGCAGCTATCCCTTATGGGGATTGAACCTGCAACCTTGGTGTAGTCATCACCACACTAACCAACTGAGCTATCCACCTCATTTTATGCTGTAAACAGCATTGCCAAATGTCTTGCTCTGCTTTATTTTGGACTGCATCCATGAGGATAGGGTGGGCGGGTCTTGTCGTCTAGGCAGCCCAGGACCTCCAGACACACTGCCTAGGCTTGCGCCCCGGAGAAGTCACTTCGGTGCTGCCAAGGCAGCAAAAACCCAATGTGGGAGGCAGCAGTTATGAGTTACCAGTCTCTGCACCCACAGCGGGCGCTGTTATTCTCCAGCAGCTTGACCTTCAGCGCTGGAGGCGTACTAAGTTATCTCTTGAGACAGACAGGTGTCAACAAGAGCTATTTAATATGAAAGGTAATCTATAAATGCTTTACGAATTAAAACATTACATATAAAATATTTAAACACTATAAAAGGCTACTTATTCCATCCTGAATCTGCTGCCAATTTCATTGGATGTGTCCAAGTGCAAGTATTATAGAAAAAAAGGGGGGGGACTACCTGCTTCTTCCATACCTCTCACAAGTTTTATAACATTCCCAATGGTGATCTCTCTCCCCCCCCCGCCCCCGGACTAAAAAGCCCTCAACACATTAGCCTTGATAGAGATGATGTTCTCCAAACCCCTGGCCATTTTGCTTGCCCGTTTCTGCCCACTGTCCCGCTCTGAAACAGGGCAGTCAGAACATTAAGTATAAAGAAACAGTAATGCTGCCCCCCAGGTATTCATTTGTGAGAAGCGGGGGCCCATTGGGCAGTGTCCGGCAGGCAGGTGCCGGCCCCCAAAGTAGGAAGCGCCCTGGATTTCAATCCATATCGAAGATTAGAACAGGACAACTTGCCTGACGCATTTCCCCTGCACTCCCATGTTCTCTCTACACCATGTGCTTAAAACCCACCTCAACCACGCAGGGCACCATCTTCTGGGAGAGTGCTCACAGTTGCATTCCAGTACTTGGGGTGGTGGGGTGGCCTCTGCGGCAAGCAACAACTGTGATGCATTTTATTTGTGCTAATATGCCTTCCTTTCTCCTTGGATAAACAAGACACATATTTCCAAGGATTCACCAGTGATAATAATGGTGTGTGGGTAGAAAAAACACACGATTCAATAGCTGGGGGGCAATTTCACAGCTGAAACTGCTCCGAGAGGAAGGCTTAATAAAGCAGCATTGTTGTGGCAGCTCTCTGCGATGGAAACACACACACACACACACACACACACACACACACACAACACGCCTCTCCTTCCAACCGCGGCTCTTTGGAGCTACAGCACTGCCAAAATTGGCCACCTCATTCTTCGCTAGTGGGGCAAACAGCTGGCTAGCAACAGGCAACAGCTCTTTAAGGGTCATACAAAAAGCAAAGGCAGCCATGTGGGTTCATAAGGGGGACGACGACCCCCAAAAGGGTACAACTGGGCAATACCTCTACCAGTACGTTCTCCAAGCAGTTTTGCCATGTGCAATCACTGTGGCAGGCAGGGGGTGGGGGAGGAAGAAACTGCAATTGCCACAGATGCATGCATGCGTTTAGTGGGCAGCGTATTCTAGGTGCTGTACGAAACATGCAAGTCAAGCTCTTGAACAGAATTTTAAAAGAATTTTAGCAAGCCAGTGTTTTACAGTGGGTAAGAGTGTTGGGAGTAGAGTGTCAGGGTTTCAAAACCCCACTCAGCCGTGAAGCTTGGGCCAGTCACTGCCTCTTAGCCTACCCACCTCACGGGATTGTGGTGGGGATTAAATGAGGGGGCGGGGGACCATGTCCGCCACCTGGAGCTCCTTGGGGAAGGTGGGATTAAAATGCAGCAGGTAAGAAAATAAATTTTATGCTGCAGGAGTTGAATGGAGGAGACAATAGGAGAGGCTGGGAAAAGAGAAGCACGGATGAAGTGTCTGGTGGCCAGCAGGAAGGAGGAGGCTAAGAAGAAGTTGGTTTGCTACAGTCTGAGAGGCGACACAGAACACAGCACAATTCTATGTAGACATAGCAGAGGCAGAGCAGCCTTTCAGCCCCAAAGCCCTGAACGCCTCTCGGTCAGAGGCAGGAAACTTGCCCACATCCCCACAAGTCAGGGGCCACCTACAAGTAAATTACCTGGTGCAAATGACTCTGGGTGACCTGCCTTTGCCTGCAGTTCGAAACGAAGCTTCCAGGGCAAAGTAGCACGCACAGCACCGCCCAGGCACTGCGCAAAGAGCTTTGCAGGCACAAACAACCAGCTGATCTGTAGTGCCTGCAAAGTCCTTCCTGTCCAAGTCCTGCCTTTGCCATCGATGGTGACAGGTGTAGGCAGGTAGGGCTTGCTTGGCCAAGACAACCCCATGGGTCAAAAGGGGAGGTCTGGTGGGTCCACATAGCCCCGCAGACTGGAGGTTGCCCACCACCAGCTGTTTAGTCAAGAACTGACTTGTCGACCTTCTTGGGAAGATAGCACCAAGACAGGACCCTCCTCATATCGACATTTTAACTGCAAATTCATACTGGAGACATCTCAGCACACTAGCCTTTGGTTTCCACTTTTCGAGGTCACGTAGAAAACGACGAGACAAAAATCACACCGAGATCAAGCTCTGCACGGCACTCAGCGCATGACGGCAAAAGCTGGGCAGGAGCAGAGATTCTGCTCACAGCGGTGACAGTAATCAAAGGGAGCAATTCAATTGGGCCAGGGAGGGCTGACAGTGAGCAAGGCTTTCAGGATCTGTAATTGGGAAAGGTTGCCTTGAAGCGGGCTTTATATGACAAGAACCAGGCTGCCTAACCCAAGGCTGCAGCAGAAGCCACAAATGCTACATGCCAAGCCAAGGATACCCAGATGTGGCAACTAGATATTCGCAGGCAAATGCCAAACGGAAAGCACAAATGCCTGCATCTGTTTGGTTTATACAACTGCTTTTTTTCAAAAATATTGAGTACAGTGGTGCCTCGCAAGACGAAATTAATCCGTTCCGCGAGTCTCTTCGTCTTGCGGTTTTTTCGTCTTGCGAAGCACGGCTATTAGCAGCTTAGCGGCTATTAGCAGCTTAGCGGCTATTAACGGCTTAGCGGCTATTAACGGCTTAGCGGCTTTAAGAAAAAGGAAACAAACTCGCAAGAACTCGCAAGACGTTTCGTCTTGCGAAGCAAGCCCATAGGGAAATTCGCCTTGCGGAACGACTCAAAAAACGGAAAACCCTTTCGTCTAGCGAGTTTTTCATCTTGCGAGGCATTCGTCTTGCGGGGCACCACTGTACTATTATTTTGGGAAGTTATGACCAATGAAAGGAAGGAGGCAGGGGTCCAAAAAAAGAGAGTCTCATGTGGGAAGACAGATACCACCCGGGGGTTTCTGAAACTTAATGGAAATAGGAAATAGGGCAGGATCTGAGGTTGCAAAATTCTGCACCAGGTCCTGAATTCTGCTCACACACTCTGCATCTCCAAATGGTGGGAGGGAGGCAGGGCAGGTTCCGCCTGTGGTGCAGCAGCTTCTCAAATAACAGCCAGTGGGATTCTGCTACGCAGTGTGCACTGGAATTCGGTTTCGGTTCATATCCGCTGGGTGGCTTTACCCAAGTTGTAACTTCGTTGTTTAAAATGGTATCTTGCAAGTGGAAAATTTTCATCTTGGCACCAGGCAGGCACACAAGTGAAAACGCTGCTCCAGGAATCAGGAACGAACACCCCCACCCCCCACATGTCGCTGTCAACTGTACATCGTAATACACTCTGTCACAATTTCTGGATTAACAAGTGCTCTTGACTCAGAATACAATTTGGGCTGACAGCCCTAAAACGGCTTCGGTTTACAAATTAGATCATATTATGCACAAACCTGTTGACTCCCCTCCTCTGCTCCCCACTTTGAAACGACAAGGAAACAGCCTTTATTGTGATAGGAGAGGTTTTGGGCAACTAACCCAAAGAAATAGACTAAAAGATGCATATATATTTTTTAATCGCTGGGAGCTCTTCGGAGGGAAATTTACAAATGAGAAAGTCTGCTTGGAAAGAGACAGAATATCAGATGCCTGAAGATGGAGTGAGAATGGCTGATGCAACAGAGGATTTTCCTTAAAAGATATGGGAACCCAGGGAGAATCTCCCCCTTAGCAACAGCTCTTACCTTATCTGCCAATCAGCAGCGGGGTCTGTAAGCTGGTGGGGAGGAGCAAGGCAGAGATGCTCAGCAGAGGAGCTGAAGATACAGATTTTTATTTTTTTGGTGTTGGGGAGTGGAAGACACAACACACCTCCCCACACGGGGCTGAGCCAGAAAGATGCAGCCTGTCTTGGCAATCTGGTACGTCAGGTGATAAATACAGTGGTACCTCGCAAGACGAATGCCTCGGAAGACGAAAAACGCGCAAGACGAAAGAGTTTTTCATTTTTTGAGTTGCTTCACAAGACGAATTTCCCTATGGGCTTGCTTCGCAAGACGAAAACATCTTGCAAGTTTGTTTCCTTTTTCTTAAAACCGATTGAAGAGGTGCAGTTGCGACTTGACCGTGCTTCGCAAGACGAAAAAACTCACAGAACGAATTAATTTCGTCTTGCGAGGCACCACTGTACCAGCAGGAAAATGCAGTGGCAGAGAACCTGTTTTTGCATGCAGCAGGACCCAGACTCAAACCCCCACATCTCCAGGTAAGGCTGATGTGCTGCCAGGAATCGGGGAGAGCCACTGCCAGTCAGTATAGACAAATTCTGATCAGCATCATGGCATCAGGGGGAATGTGTTAAAGACTCCCCCACAGCCCACAATCCTAACCTGGCTTGGGTCCCCCTCATGCTGGCTATCTAAGCTGTTAAAAACCACAACCACCACACCCGCTAGGTAGTTGAGTGTGGCCCTAAAGGAGGGGAAAAGCTGAAGGATGAGGGCAGAAGAACCTACAAGTTATTACGCGTCAGGATCCGGACAACACATATCCTTCAAGCGTTCCAATCGTGGAAAATAATTCTCCCTGCTCTCTGACAGACAGCTGCCGCACCCACTGCTAATTTTCCCAGTCCAGGACAAGATGACGAGTGGGAGAAGCTCTGGATGTCCTGAGAGTGGGTGGGGGAGATGGCTGCTGGTTTTTGGTCCAGAATGATTTCCATGCTCCAAGCCCGCTTGCCGGTTTCCCACAGGCACCTAGTTAGCCACTGTGAGAAGAGGATGCTGGGCTCTTCTTAAGTTCTTAACCTCCCCATTCAGTGTCAAACCAGGGGAGCAAGCTGTTGTCATCCAGGCAGGCCCCCGCAGCAGTCAAGCAGAATTATCTGGCTGACCTATTAATGCCAACATCCTCTCAACACGGAGGGGGGTGTCCCTAAGAGGACACAAGCTCCTCCTTGCCTATTCCTTCCCTTGCATGAAACCCAAGGCCCCAATTCACTTGGCCTCCAGACCCCTTGATCAGGAAGAAACAAGATGCAAGTGTAGGGGGTTGTGTGATGAGAAAAAGAACAAGCCCTACACAGAATCTACAGGGGTTACCCAGCACAGTCATTTGGGGCTGATGGGAGCCATAGTCCAACATCTAAAGGGCACCAGGTTTGCAAATGCAGTCACAAAAACCAAACTGAAGAGAATGTCACAGAATCACAGATTTGGTAGGTACCCCAGGCGTCATCTAGTCCAAGCCCCTGCTCTGTGGGTCTGCTCTGCTCATACAGAGGGCAAAAGCAGTCCATCTTCTGACTTCTTCTTGAAGCAAATCAAAACACTGCAATTGACCTGGATTTTGAAACCTGGGCTAAGCTCCTAGGTGGATGGTGCTTTATTGCACGATGTTTCAATTTAACTAGTTATAGGCTTCCTCTCTAACTTTTATTGCAATGCAGAGGTGCTGTCCAAGACAGCTGTCGGATGTAAGAAGAGCCCATGCAGGTGCCCAAGGATTCCATCCATTAGCATCAGCCTTGCAGTTGCCCTGAGTTACACCCTTTTGCAGTCTCACAAAGGTCCGATCCTAGACACCGCTCCTGCAACTTCTAAAGGGAATCTAATTAGGCTGGCATTTGAGGGTCCTGTGAGGGGTGGTGGAAGAAACTGCTAATGAGATATCCCAACACACACACGAAAAGCTACTGTTCCCAAGTGATCCAAGGGAAAGTGTCAAGAGGCAAACCAACTGAATTCTGGGTGTTCAGAACCTATTTAAGCAGCAGTCTGACCAAGGAGAAGGCTGTCTAGGAACCAAATCAGCACGCTCCATTTTGAAGGAACTATCCTCAGATAGTGTCCCAAACCGTTCTACAATTTTTCTTGCATCGGACAGGAAAAAACCAAGTCCACAGTGCCACAGAACTGAGACAAGTAATCAGTCCATAAATGCATATGCAATGAAACTTTCAAAACCATATGAAGAGTAGATCTGTACGGATGTGTGTTATCCAAAAGGAAGGAGGCATCATCAATGCACAGGAGAGATGCAGAATTTAAATGCTGATGAAAAGCTTAAACTGACACAGCCCCCAAAGTACCAATGCCGCTGAGCTTTCAGGGGGCACCATATAAAATAATACACATGCCCCCTCCCCAACCAGTCTTACCGCCTCTTTCTCTCTGTCCATGATTGTTTCCAGCTCCTCAAAATGACGGAGTTTGATCTCCAGTTTCTTCATCTGTGTTTCCACCAGGAGGGCGACCAAGGACTTGATCTTCCTTTCCTCAACAGCAGCTAGATGCTGGGGGGGGGAAACACAAACACACATACACCTTTACCTACGTGCAGGAGAAACAATAGCAAATGCCACCCCCCGCCGCCGCTTTTTCATTTGTACAAAACATTTTCTGCCTTCTAACCTGGTAACAGTTCATTTTCCTCTAAGATTTCAGGGGCCTTATCAAACATACGGCGTCAAAGTCCTTCGAAAATGTGAACTAGCTGGTGCTGAAACCGCATGAGGCAATAAGTGAGGTCTGAAGGTTCAATGGTAGCTTATTTTTTTGCTATCTACAGTATTTGCTTGGGAATCTGTTTAATGCAAAGATTTATCAGAGGGCCAAAGTAGCCCCTGATATATCCTCCTCTGCTGCTCGCATGGAGTACTAACCCGTAGACTACTGAAATTGAAACTGTACAACTACTTTACGTAGGAGCTCATTAAAGGTAAAGGTAAAGGGACCCCTGACCATTAGGTCCAGTTATGGCCAACTCTGGGGCTGCGGCACTCATCTCGCTTTATTGGCTGAGGAAGCCGGCGTACAGCTTCCGGGTCATGTGGCCAGCATGACTAAGCCGCTTCTGGCAAACCAGAGCAGCGCACGGAAACGCCGTTTACCTTCCCACTGGAGCGGTACCTATTTATCTACTTGCACTTTGACATGCTTTTGAACTGCTAGGTGGGCAGGAGCAGGGACTGAGCAACGGGAGCTCACCGCGTCGCAGGGATTTGAACCGCCGACCTTCTGATCGGCAAGTCCTAAGCTCTGTGGTTTAACCCATTACAACAACCTTATAACAAAGTAGTATGTTAAAATTTCCACTAATGTAATAACTTCATTTACTCCAATGCTTCTATAACACATCTTGAAAGACTGTTCAAGATGGGCTTTGACACTGAAGTTATGATTATGGGAACCTCTGGAACAGCTGTCAAGCTGATCTGGCACTACTAACAGTGAATTTTGATACACGGGACTGAGTCACACCCAAGACACAAAGCAGGGCTGGCTAACAGGTCGCAACAATTCCCAGATTTTTCATGCAAACCAGGAGGGTGATTGGTTCATCTACTAAGAGCCTACTGGATCAGGCCAATGGCCAATCTAGTTTAGCATCCTGCTCACACAGTGGCTGGTACCTGTAAGAAGCCGACCAGGAGGGCCTGGGCACACCAACATCCTCTCCACTTGGAAGAGAAAAACAGAACACGGTTGCCCCACGATTCAGCTTTGGAAAGCACCAAACTGTCAGTAACGACTCCTCTTTTATGAGCGCAGGATGCCTATGTCTCTATGGAATTCAAACTGACTGCACTGATTGGTAGCAACTCTCTAAGCCTCACTTAAAAACGCCAAGGGCTGAACCTTGGACATTCTGCATGCAAATCAGATCTTCTACCACTGAGCTACAGGCCCTTCCCAAATTAGCCAGACACCTTTTCTCTACTCACACCTTAAAGAAAAGGAGGCTTGGCTTAGCGAAGGCAGAAGAGCCACCCCTCCTGTTTGCAGAATATTCATCCTTATTCAGATTTGTATTGCTTGCCTTAATGACACCCATCAGTTTGTGATGGACAGGACACATGCGGCAACGTATGTTATACAAGAGCCCTCTGCTCAGGCTGTAAGTCTCAAACACTTGGAGATGGTACAAGTCAGGCTGTGGGATTATCTGTGCTTGAATGGGAAGGACCCCTCCACTAAGACGTATGACGGCCCCAAATTTCTTGAACATGCTATTTTGCCATTGATTTCTCCATTCGTTGGGTATATTTATTTCCGTTTCATTCTTTAACAAGAGATGCGTCATACTACCATTCTGTGAAGATAACACTGTTCAAGATGGAAGTGATAGGCAAATAAGGCACAACCCTTCTTTTTAAAGAAGCAGAAAGGGGGAATCACGGGGGAGAACCTTGCTAAAGAGGGTCTCTGTGCGCTAGCCTGGAAACCGGAAAACTGAGAACAGAGAAGGAGAAAAACATCTATTTTGCGCCAAGTGCCGAAGGCCAGAAAAATGAGGAGATTCCTCCTCCGGTTCTGTGAGTTCCACACAAGGGCTTCCTTCAGCCACACTTTCTAAGTTCTGTTTTCAAATGGGCTAACCTCCCAAGGAATTGGTAATGGGCTTATGAGGAAAGGAATGCCTGGCTGAGGTCTTGAATCTTCTCACCACCCAAAGAAATAGCCCATCAAAAGCTGAAAAAGAAGCTGACAAACTTTCTGGATAGGCTCTCTCACTGTGCCTTTTAGTAAGCCCACAATGGCAGCCTCAAAACCCATTCACAGGGGAACAAATTTCATTTAATGATAACATTCATACAGCTGAAGCCGAGGAGCACAGAAAGTGCATTTTAAAAAGGCATGAGAAGCAGAAGCAAGCTCCATTGGTGGCTTTGCAAACAATGGGGTCATTTTAAAAGCGTTCCCTGAACAGCACCGGAAACCAGATGCAGTGGAAATCTGTGCCCGACAAACCTTGGCTTTGGTGGCAGCTGAGGCGAGGGCAGCAGCTGCAGCCGTTGCCACGTTCCCTTCGGAGATTTCGTGCTCCACTCTCTTCTTCCCAGCGTCGCCCTCCTTGTCTTTGCACACATCAAGGTTCTCCTTGTTCTCGTCTGCTTCCTTCTCATCTAAACGAAAACACTCCCTAGTTAGTCTTGCACATCCCTTTAGCGCAGCTGATGCCATTATCTCACTCCTGATTATTTGTGCAGCGCTCAAACTTCTAGCATAAAATAAGACCATGAAGTACTTTCAGCTTCACTCTCGGAAAGACACCACTTGTTGGGATCAGCTGTCGTTTCGGGTGCCCTCCTTAGAACAGCCGAGAAAATAGACACCTCTGGCTTGGCCCGCCCCATTCAGAATGTCCCCTTCCATTTGAGAAAGAGAAATATTGGTTTTAGAGTTTAAAGTCAAGGGACTGCTGCAGTGAGACAGCTTCCTAACAGCACCCAGAACCAGCTCACTGGATATACTAGCCCACCCATGATTTGCAAAATAATCATTTGACTGTCACCTTTCTCTTGTTACCAGACTAATAATGCTGCTTTGGGCAAGGGGTTCCACTAACTCACCTTCTCCACACACCCCCAACTATGCAAATTAACACTAAAGGTAAGAGAAATTATTAAAAACCTATCCCCCGACCCAACTATTTAAATTTCAAAAAAGCAGACTCAATTGTTCTAAAAGACATAAATGTTTTCATGATTTAAATTATTGAGTTTCTGTCAATTGAAAGGCAGAGAAGGCAGCAAGATACTTAAAAAGTGGGCACAGCCTGCCCACCTATTCTTTCCGATTAAGGCTGAACCAGTGGCTTAGCAAGAGGAAATAACACACTCAATTCATATTAGGCAGGGCTGCTTCAGCTTAGCATTGGTTACCCAAAGTGTACAACCAAGATGAAAAGAATTCCTGACGGAAGCATGAAAGGATTTCAAATCAAGATTTAGCGCCTGAGCCAGGCTTGTGAGATAAAGCCTGAATATGGACTACTGCATTCTATCCAAAGCAGACATGTTACGGTGGGGTAGGGGTTGTCGATGTTTATTCGCCCACGGACACATCCGCAAACTGGAGAAAATGTGGGGATCTCCATGGGAGCACAGGCCACAGCTGTAATCACTAACCCTAACCCTTCCCTTCCCAGCTTTAAACTCCAGGATGGTACCCCCCCCCTTGCTAATACACACACACAATGATTAGTCTTGAAAAAAGGCTTCCATTAAAGCCAATAGATTTCTTCCCAAGCTAATTTCAGAGGCAGTGGTCACGGAGGAGCTAACTATTGCCTCCCCAGTTGTATCACCTCTGCAATAATTAGACTTGAAGAAGCTTTATACTGGTTGCAAAAGGTGTGTGTGTGCGCGCGCGCCGCTGAGGACGGAAGGTGTAACCCTTTCCCCTCCACCTGCAATTCCCCCCTCTTCTGCCCTAGAAATCACCCCTGAATTGGAAGGAGCTTCCAAACTGCAATAGGAATTCTTTCCCAAGCCTAACTTAAGTTCAGAAACAGGCTGTTTTCAGGATTCGTTTGTTACAACCCTGGAGGGGAGAGTTAAGCCTCCACTTTTTACTGGCTATAACAGAAAGCCTTTTCAAGCCTTAATTTCACTGGCGGTGGGTAGGGAGCAAAGGGAAAGCCCTTGTGGGTGCCATGTTGGCAACTCATGCTATGGGGAATAATGCCTTCGTTGCAGCTTAATTTATGAGACATGCCTGGAACTACAGGGAAAGCACTTTAAAGCCTCTGAGCAGCTGGGAGAGCAAAGCCGAAGCTTCCTACCTGGCTTGGAGTCCTGGGAGACGTCGCCATCCTGATCCTTTTCTGCGTTTTTCTCCTCGTCTCCTTCCTGTGCCTTGTTTGCATCTCCAAGTTCATGGTCCCCTTTGTTTTCAATCTAGAGCATATGAAAAGTGGGGGAGGCGTACTGTAATTAAACAGCTCAGGGAAATGAAATTTTAAGGTTTCCAGGGGGGGGGGGGGATATTCCTCTTGACAACCGTAGTTACTGAGCAGGAAACAAATAACTGCAGAAGTACAGACACAGCAGGCCATGAAAATAAAGGATAGCTTTCCTGAAGAACATCGGTGCATCAGGAACACCAAGTGTTCACTTTAAAAATAGAAATAGCAAGGGATGTCATACCAAAAAAAAGAAGGGGAAAAAAAGAAGGCAATTGTTTCCTTATTTAGAAATACTCTTGACTGATTCCAAAGCTCCAAACTAGAAAAGCCAGCTTAGAGTCTTCATTGAATACTCTTGGCTTCAGTTTCTCTATGTGTTAAAAGGTAAAGGGACCCCTGACCATTAGGTCCAGTCGTGGCCGACTCTGGGGTTGCGGCGCTCATCTCGCTTTCTTGGCCGAGGGAGCCAGCGTACAGCTTCCAGGTCATGTGGCCAACATGACTAAGCCGCTTCTGGCGAACTAGAGCAGCGCACGGAAACGCCGTTTACCTTCCTGCTGGAGTGGTACCTATTTGTCTACTTGCACTTTGACGTGCTTTTGAACTGCTAGGTGGGCAGGAGCAGGGATTCAAACCACCAACCTTCTGATCGGCAAGCCCTAGGCTCTGTGGTTTAACCCACAGCGTACTGGACCTAAAATTGACTCCAAATATTCCCTTCTAACAACAAAAGAGCATAGTGGGGAAAATAACATCCAATGAAACAAATCCCGTACTGGAAGTCCAAACTGGTGGATTTCATTGACTGCTTTTGCATGGTTTAACCCAGCCTTCGCCAATCTGGTGCTCCCCAGACGTTTTGTACTATAATTTCCATCAGTCCCAACTAGAGTGCAGGCTGACTGGGGCTGATGGGAGTTGTAGTCCAAAACATCTGCACGGCACCAGGTTGACGAAGGCTGATTTAGCTCAATATGCATAGGCACCTGTCTGCTCTGTAGCAGATGTAAACAAAAGAATCCTGTGTTTAATTTGGCATCCCTCAAATCTTCCTACTCCAGTCTCCTGCTTTAATTTAGCAATATGTTTTAATGGGATTGTTTTATTACAGATGTTTATATTTTAATGCTTGTGCAATTGGTTTTTATACCTGAAAACAGCTTAGAGGTTTTTTTAAAAAATGATGTATAAACTTTATGAAACAAATAAAAATAGAAGCCGATTTTTGCATTAAGCAGGACATAAATTAATAAATACATCATTTTAATTTAGGTAGAAAACAAGATGTTTTCTTAAAATAGGTGAAAACAAACTCTTTCTGAGCTTGTGAAAGTGGGACTTTATTTTCATTCAGAGGCTTCTGTATTATTATTAATAGTAATAATTCATATGAAATGCTTGAAGCACTGCACGATTTTAAAAAATGGTATTTGAAGCAGTCAGACCTTAACTTTTTCTGCCTGTGGTCCATCTGTCTCTGTCTCCATTTTCTCTTCTTCAGCTCCATCTGTAAGGCAGAATAATTAACACTTAACACAAAGCTGACCGTGTGGCAGCAGGAACAGTTATTGATAACCCATCAGAGGACTAATGGAAGTCTCTTGTTTTGTTTTTCGGAGCACTTTCACAAAGCATCATCACATTGAACAAGGCGATCGCAGCTCAATCCCTGCTGGCCATGGGTAATCAAACTTTCAAATCAGATCAGCATTACGAGTCATCCCGTCCCAGGAATCAATGCTCCTCTGCCTACCACCAGTCTGAGAATACACTGGTAGGTCTGTGCTACATATGTATATGTATGTATAGAGATTACTTTCACTTGCAGATTGACTGGTCCACTGATTTTTTTTAAAAAACTCCATTTGAGAGTAACAACCATCTAACCTAGAGGGGCTTACTTCTGAGCAGATCTGCATAGGAGAGGGAAATCTAATCTAAGGCAGACACAATGAAAACAGAAGCAGCAAAGCCTTTATTCTAGGTTACCTGATCCAGAACACTTTCGCCTCTGGCTCCACCCCCAAACAGGAAAAGGAATGCCCATCCCTACTCTAGAGAGATGCTGTGACACGGATCCTGCTTTCAGAAGCCATCCACTCGCATGTATGTGGCTCTCTGAAAATTAACTCTTCCCTGCGGTGGGTTAATTCTCCACAAGCTCCTCTAGCTCAATGGCAAGCATGGGTGCTGACATTTCTGGCGGATTGCTCCAATTATCATTTAGGCACGGAAATAACGTGTGGAACACGGCGATACGATCTTGCAACAGTTCCTAAAACATGTGTTCCTAAACATCCGATTCCTGGAAGCCTGGGGTAAGCTACAGGGACCCGTAATTATTCTTCCAAAGCATCAGGTTCCGGCTTCTGTTGGATGCAGAAACCCAAACTCTGGCAATGAGAATAGATTAAGCAAATTAAGTGCATTTATGCACATTTTCTTAATTGCCATAATTTATGGGCCCAGGATTGAATGTCTTGGCGCAGGGTAAACAGTCCTAAGTAATTGCCACTCAACACCTCCACACAGCCTGTAAAACAAGTTAATTAGATATATCAAACTCTCACAGCGATCAATTAGAAGAGCGTCTCAAGGCAAAGACTTGTTAGTGAGTATTTTAGCAAAGCTTCCCTTTGCTCGTCCCACTGTGTTCATAAGGAGGTTTCATATTATGCTTGTAACAGAATATGAAGCGCCTGTGCAAACTTGCCCCCCACGCCCCCGGGGTCCCCAGCCATTCCACTGGGGCCTCTGTGCCTTTTCAAGCTCTTAAAAAGTCTCCCTTTATATCCTTATTTCCACAGTTGCTCCAGCCAGCTGGCACTCCTTCACAATCGTCTGCAGTTTGCTTTCCGTCTTCCCCAGGTGGCAACTGCTCACTCACTCAGTGGCTACTAAATCCTCTTGCACAAAACCACATGCCAAGACAGGACAACCCACACTGGACCGCGACAACACTCTGATCAAATACGTCTCCTGTTTGCCGAGGCAATTCACTCTCAACTTTTGAGTACTGTGCTTTTCTGCAAAGCCCTTCCTGAGGCTCTCTCGGTGCTGACTGACTCTCCGCTAAACTCTCATCCGTCTCAAGCACTCCCTGCCTTCTGGATAAAGATCGGGCAATTGTGCTTTAGCCCTGAAGGTTAAAAACAAAAGTACCTTGTCATCATTAACCAATCCCCTACGGATCCACCCATTTCCGGCCTTCCTCAGCTGCAGAAGCACATGCAGGGGAGAGACTGCTGGAACCATTAGGGACAAGCTATTCCACCTGCCTTGCCCCATCCCCTACCTGAGGGAAGGTGGGGTTGTTGGTTTTTTTGCTATTTGGATGTTCCCTATTTTATTGTTAGGCATTGTTTCGGTGTTTACTAGCATGAGGTCTTTGTCTGCCCTATTTACATTAGTGCGACTGTTTTGCTTAAACCGTGCTCTGTTTGCATTATCGTGAAATGTGGCTTTCATTTATTCTGCATGTTGTGAGCCACTTTGAGAATGCACCTGCCATGAGAAAGTGGCATGCAAATGAAAACGTGACATGCACGAAGGAAGAGGAGCTTTGAGGGGTTGGACTAGATGACCACTGGGTCCCTTCCAACTCTTAAGATTCTATGATTCAACCCTCTAGCTGCCTTTACAGCAGGAGAGGTGCCTGCTGCAAAAGGACCACCCCAAGGCCACCGCCTAGGGTTGCTTGGCAGTGCAGCTGGCTCCAAATATTCTACTTACCCGAACAGGGTTGCCGTGCAAATACGAAACCGCAACCCCCCCCCCCATATGCTGCCTTGAACAACTTGGGAGGATGTGTGCACAGTAGAGGCCCTGAAGTGAGGTTTTCAGCAACGGAAAACATCCGATCTGAGCAGATGTAGAGCTGCATCCACCGCAGCTCAAGCCTGCCATGCTCCATGGAAACAAATTTGCAGGCTATTCATTTCCCTTCCTAATAGAAAGCTGGAAGCTCCTTGAAAGCCTCAGATATTGAACAGCCACTGGGAGCTCCGCATCCAGGAAAAAAATGGATTAGCGTCTAGTCTTCCAGGACAGAACAAGCTAAGCTGCAAGGAAAGGAAGAAAATAAAAGATTTTGTGGCTCTGCATGGGCACATGCATTAAATAAAAGAGAGGGAGTGAGGAAGAGACAAAACCAATCCTGAAAAGGCTCATTAAAAAAAATCAATTTCAAAAAATGGTTGGAAAGGCCAATGTGTACAGCCATGTTTATCATAAGAATACAGTGGTACTTCTGGTTGTGAACAGGATCCGTTCTGGAGGCCTGTTCGCAACATGAGCAGAACGCAACCTGCGTCTGCGTGGGTCGCAATTCGCCGCTTCTGCGCATGTGTGTGACGTCATTTTGCGTGTCTGCACATGCGCGAGCGGCGAAACCCGGACGTAACCCTTTCCGGTACTTCCGGGTTGCCACGGGACGCACCCTTAAGATGCTCAACCTGAAGCAAACGTAACATGAGGTATGACTGCAGATGATTGAGTCTTTCTTCTGCTATGATATACCAGAAGACTGGTGTGCTCTTTTCAGGAGAGAAGGGTCGCTTATTACCAGTTATTCTGTACTGAAGAAGATTTACAGCCAGAGTAGGCCACCGGGGAATGCTCCGGAGACTTGGGAAGTTTGCAGCCTTCCCATGGCACGTTTCTCCAGGGTGGCAGCAGCAGCAGCAGCAGCAGCAGCAACAGAGCGCAACCCTGTGTTCTGCATTTGAAGCCTCCAGTAAGTCCTAAGAACCAGTGAACGATGCGAGTGAGGATTTCTCCACTCTTTCAACATGAAGACATGGGAATGACAAAATATTTTGCTTAACCTTAGGGTTTCTTCATGCCTTATGCAGTGGCATTTTCTCAGCTACCTGCACATTTGCCGCGGGTGTGCGTTACATACTCACTTGTTACATGTAAATGTGTGGTGTGACCCGCGGTCTACGCCGCCCATCATGGCTCTGCTAAATGATTCAGGGATGGGCGCTGGGACTACCAGCTAACACTGCCAACGCAGTTGCTCATGCTGCAGTTTTACGGCTCAGCTACAGTAATTACTACTGAGGGATCACCCTCCCCCAAGAAAGCGTTTTATTTAGCAATAATGTTTTAAATCCAATCCTTCTGGTTTTAGCTGCCCAAATATATAAGCAGTATTTTCGGCAGGCATATACCATGCAACAAGCGCAGGCTTGGCGGAGGGCTTCTTCGCCTTCCACCCTCTGGTGAAAAGCTGTTTGAGAGCAGAGGCGCTGCAGACCGTCGAGTGACCCAATTCAATTTTGCCAAGCCACTCCCCCACAGAGAGCCATCTGCTCCTGCCCTAATTTATTCCATTAGTCACAGATCAATACAAATCACATTAACTGGCTAACATTAACTGCAAAAATCCAGTTCATTTCTCTCATTCAGAAATAATCTGCATCTCACGTTTTATTCTCTGGGCCAAGGAAAGGCTTCAAATTCTATTATCTGCCGCTAGCGAGCGAAAGGGAAAACACGTGGCTTCTTACTTATGTTTCTGCTGTCCTTGCTGTAATTTTGCCTGCTGTACACCCATTTACTGTATTTTTAATGGAAGCGGGGTGTCTAAATATTTCAAAAAATAAATATTCAGCACTCAATACTAAAGAGCCCTATTCAGACGCCTGTTCCTCCATCTGATGTTAGTCACGTGGAGAACACAGTGGGGGTGAGGACACTCGCCCTGCCACATTCATAGTTGCCCCTGATGAGTTGGAGGATGGCCGCCTGTAAGAGATAACCAATTATACAACCTTCCGTAGACATCTGAAGGCAGCCTTGTATCGGAAAGCTTTTAATGTCTGCTGTATTGTGTGCTCTTTTATGTTTTGTTGGAAGCTGCCCAGAGTGGCTGGGGCAACCCAGTCATATGGGCTGGGTATAAGCAATAAATTATTATTATTAATAATATTATCATCATCTCCACTTAAAAGCACAGAACCCAGCAGAGCCAGAAAAAAACAAAACCTCACCCTGGTCTGGTTCTCTGGGAGGAAGTTCCAGATCTACTGGAGCACAGTATTAGCTAGACAGCCATGAAGCTAATCACAACCTCAGGTGTTTACCTGAAACCTATAAGGCACATGGAAAGGACACAGAAGGGAAACAAAGCATAAGGACAGTTACTGAGATGTTCACAAGGGTGTGGAGCCTTGAGATTCGAGTTCAAGTGTCAGTGCTTGACATTACTGCAGCTTGAGTGAAATTCCCTGTTCTCAGAGACTGGGGCAACGTGTGGTACTGTTGCTGTTATCGTATGTAATTGTGGGAAGGAAGATTACTGTAAACTGTGTGGGTGCTGAAGGTTGATGGGTATAGGAGGAAGAGAAGAGCAGGAGTCTAGGAAAATTAGTTTCAATAGACAAAATTGGTGAGACACTATCGTTCAGGAGGGCACAAAGTAACCGAACGTCCGTCAGCCGAACTGCGTGCTCCTCTGTACCTTGACTGGCACTGCCTGCAGAAACGTTAAAAGTAGGTAACGTAACCTACAAACGTAACAGTGTGCTGCAGACTAAGCACTGTGGCATTTTGGTCTTAGCAGGAGGCTGAATCAAAGGATGTATTCACCATGGTGCTCAGTAATTATATTTTGACAAAGCTGTAAAATTCTGCTTTATTGTGTATGCAGAAAATGGAAGGAACCATGCCCTAATTACTCTCAAGTCTCACACCAGAAGCAATATCTCTCACTCAAGGACTGCTTTCCATTGTGTTGTACAATCTGCTTAAATGTAGGAATTATCACGATGACCCCTAATCTGCTGTTTCCTGAACTTGCGCCTGCCACATACTGATCTATGCTGGTGTGGCATTTCAATCATTATTCCAAATGGGGAGAATAATGTTCAATCTCCAAGCATAAAACCAAACGTCTCATATTGTAAACGACTTTCTGGGAAATAAATAAGGCAGTCCAAAGCTTCTGGCACTTTTGACACACTTTTGACACCCCACGGATTCTCAACCATTGTATCAGGCATAATTCCAACTCCCCCGTCAAGATCAAACATTTCATTTTTCTTGAACGATGCAGGCGATAATGATTACAGAGTACGAGCTGTCATGTGACTCTCAGAGTAACAATTACGTATTGGTTTTCTTCATCGCTCAATGACCAAAAATATGGTGGCTGGTGTGAACAACCCAATCTCTAATTCTGCCTGCTCCCCCTACCCCAAAATAAAGTAAGACGTGTTCTACTATACCTTTTCCCTTAGTTATGATTGCCTTTGGTTGACATAAACACAATACAGTGGTGCCTCGCAAGACGAAAAGAATCCGTTCTGTGAGTCTCTTCGTCTAGCGGTTTTTTTCGTCTTGCGAAGCAAGCCCATTGACGGATTAGCGGATTAGCGCTATTAGCGGCTTTTAGCGGCTTAGAAAAAGGGGGGGAGGGGAAAAAACCCGCAGGAACTCGCAAGACATTTTCGTCTTGCGAAGCAAGCCCATAGGAGATTCATTTTGCGAAGCACCTCCAAAACGGAAAACTCTTTCGTCTAGCGAGTTTTCCGTCTTGCGAGGCATTCGTCTTGCGGGGCACCACTGTAAATCACCACAAACTGGCTTATAAGTATAAAACCAAATTTACTAGAATAATAGCTAGAATATAGACTTATAACAATTCAAACAACAAACATACTAAGGTGCCATGTGCAAGACAAGAGATACTGTAAACATGGAGTGGATAAATGTACAACTCTATCTTAACAAGTTACACGTGCAGTAAATGTTATACAGACTGGATAAATGAACCGTTCAACAAGTAGCGTAAGTCCAATCACAACGGCAAGGGTAGCATACTGGAGAATATGACAAAGTTTTTCAACTCTGTTTTTCAAACATTGAACTGGATGAGAAAAGCGGAATTGAGAATTATCCTCAGTTGAGAGGTTATTCTCACCAGGGTGGTGGCTTTGATTTGCCTTCCCGTGATTGATCCATGCATACGGCTTTGTGTTTCCAACTCAAGACCTGTTCTGAGAAGAACATCTCATCCAGTTCAATCTTTGAAAAACAGCCTTGAAAATCTTTTTCATATTCTCCAGTTTGCTACCCTTGCTGTTAGTATGTTTATTGTTTGAATGGTTACAAGTCTATCTCTATTCTAGATATTATTCTAGTAAATTTGGTTCTATACTTATAAGCCAGTTTGTGGTGGTGTTGTATTATTACTACTGTCACCACATTTGATACTTTGTGTATATTCTTGACATAAACACAAATCAGAAACAAGTATGATGGACAGGAGCACCAGAGGGCAAACCCTAAGGACATACCAAGTTTCTCTGGCTCATCTGGAGCCGTTCCGGCAATGCAGCTGCTCTCTAGTCCATAAGTGGGATCCACTTTTCCAGAGACTCTGGCTGCCTCCTGCACCTTCTTGACATGGGCCTCTACAAGTTCCAGTGGGACTTCCTCTCGGACCCTGGAAAATTCCTCTGTAAACAAAGTAAAAACGACAAAGCTTAGAAGTTTGTTTTTAGGCGGGAGGATTTTCAAAGTCATGTACCAACAGAACAGGTAACTCTTTAAGACAGCGGTTCTCAACCTGTGGGTCCCCAGATGTTGTTGGACTACAACTCCCATCATCCCTGAGCTCTGGCCTTGCTAGCTGGGGGTGATGGGAGTTGTAGTTCAACAACATCTGGGGACCCACAGGTTGAGAAAGGCTTCTTTAAGATGACCCTGCTGGATGATCTGATTGCACATTTTACACTATTGTAGTTACTCCTGTTTATTGGACATTTAGCAAGGGAGATGTGAGTCACAAAGCCAAGAGCGGAGTGGGAGAAGGGGACAAAGGGAGCTGACAGCAGGACAGGCCAATGAATAGCAGAACAAAGGGAGATGTGGCAAGAGACTCGGGCAAGGCAGACAAGAGGACCCCAAAATTAATGGCCAAAAAGCACAAAGCAGCACCAGCCTTGAGAGAGGAGCCATGAAAAAGAGACATAAAAAGGAAGGTAATTTTAGTACCAGCACTTTGAATTGACTGATCAGGGAAGATGACATGCAAAGAAGCCTTTTGGGGAAGCTGCCTGCAGAATGGATAAGGCAATTTCCAAGTTATTTTAAAAACGCATTACTCTCACACACTAAACTCTAATGCACGTATTGCCATTGTGCGGCAATTAATAATACAAGGGCTGTTTTGTTCAGAAATCTTGAGAGCATCTTGGACAGCATCTCGGGAAGATGAAATCAAGGATGGGAGCAGACAGCAGAACCTGAAGCATTCGTAATAGGTTAGCAAGGCCCTTTTGAAGTTATGCGTTGAGCTACACAAACGACAAATTAATGCTTGGCGTTTAGGTACCGCTTGGCTTAGGCGGTGCTTTACTAACATTAACCAATTAAAGGTAAGTGACAGCAGGCGGCAGACTGCAGGAAAGATGAAAGCAGGCTTCAATTTTCTTCTCTGGGCAGGTTTGCCAGCCTGTGTGCAGAATGTCGTCCGTCCCGTCCCCCCCAAAACCCCACCCTTCTAAATACCAGCATCTTTCCAGGCAGTCCTTAAGTAGTTTTGGTGAATTTACGACAGATCAACCAAGGAGACGGTGGAGGATTTTCTTTAAGGCTAAGTCAGCACCAAGCATGAAATTAAGACCTTCTCAGACAAGATTGAACTGGAAAGGGGGTGGGGAGGGAAGGTGATCCATACCTAAAGCTGCTTTAGCGGCAGCAGACGCCACCCGGGGATCCACGACAGATGCCAGAAAAGCCACGGTGCTCATCACCGGGTTTCCAGACTGGCTGAAAGGCACAGGCTGGTAAGCCAAAGGGCCCAGCGAGGCATCGGAGTTCTCCAAGTAAGGATCCTCAATGGGAAGCCTCAGGAAATGGAGGATGCACTCGTCCTGAGTGCGGCTTCCGACATGCTCAGAAACTTTATTCCAGTCATCCTTGTACATCTCCAACGCCTTAAAAACAAAGGGGGGGGGGGAATCAACCTTTAAAGAGACGCAATGCAAAAGGAGTTGGTTCACAAATTTGGTAACTGAAACAATATACCATGAGAACAGCAGGAACGGAACATTTGTTCAGATAATAGAAACAATTTGTGGTCCTGTTGAGATTAGAAGCAGGTGTTAAGTAAACTGTGGGGAAGTTTGGCTATATGTGACCACTCTTTTAAAAGAAATATTTTGATAGATTTTTGTGAACGTCTTTAATAAAGGTAAATAATAGCAAATGTGTGTAAAAAGAACAAATTTGAAGAGCTGAGAAATTCTGAGAATGATTATTTCAGAAAAGGTGAGTTACCAGACCTGCAAAGCAAGTGTCAAAAGTGATTATACTGGACCAATACAACATACATTCTGCAACTTGTTTGACAGCAGGAGCCTTCTATTGTATGAGATAAATGGGAGCCTTCTTTCAGCATAGCAAGCAGTCAGAGAAAGGCCAGAAGATTGGAGACAAGCATTTATGGTGTAAGCTTGTCCTTAAGTACCATCCTCCAGTCTTTGGTACCGCTGGGCCATCACTGCTACTTCTGAACTCTTCTAGTGGCAAAAAAAGTCCAAGAAGCAGCTACACTTGGGGATCTTTTACCTTCTTCTTCCTTCTACAACACTGACTCTGAAACATGAAGAGAAGGTAGCCAAGCGCTGTCATTTAGATCCTCTGACCCCAGAAACGTGCCTAAAACATTTGCTGCATTATTGGTATGGTATCTTCGATTCAGGTCCCCCCCCCCTTTATTTCCCTGAACACAGAAACAAAATTCAGCAAAGTTAGGCCTACACCCGCCTAGCATTTCAGCTTTGGATCTGAGAGTTGCTACTTCAAAACACATTGGCAACCAGCATGTGGCTTTACCTTCTCCAGAATGAGGCCAAGTGGTGTCCATCATCGTGGCTGTTGCTAATCAGACTCCAAACTCTCTCCTCCTTCCCTGGCCACCTCCAGTCCCACAACCTGCCCCTTGACCTTAGCCTCACTGGTCTTTTCACCAATTTCTCTACTATAATCTTTCCTATCACCTTTCAAATGCATTGCAAATCTCACCTGCCATCTCTCTTCCTTTGAGCAACAATCCTTTTCTGCCTTCCATCTCTCTTTACCCATCTTCAACCTGGTTTACAATTACCTCTAATCTACTAGTCCATGCTACAGCGTCATCTCTTGCCAAGATTATTATTACTGATATATTCTTTGTGTCCTTCCTTCCTGTAGTCCCTTCTCTTGGGTTGATTCATATTGGCTCATCTAAATTGTCCCCACCCCACCCTGATATGACTCCACTATGATGTAAACCATCACCTGAAGGCGTAAACTTTCAGATTGTTCCCTTTATTTGCTGGCTTCTAAGCTTTGTGCGACCAAATTATCTCTTCCAGCTTGTGTTTTCTCCAAATTTTGGAACTATGGCACCTAGAATAAGTTGTGGAATTTAATATAAGTATCTGGAGGAGGGCAGAATTGGTAGATGGAGATATCCTGTTTCTATTTCCCATCTGAAATGCAACAGATCTGTTTCTAGAGCATGTTGAAAAGGGAAAGGGAACTGATTGTCCTTAAGGTGAGGGAGGGTACCAAGGAGAATAGTGTAGTGCAAACACTTTGATTTTTACGAAAATATTGCACAAAATGATTACAAATTTTTAAAAAAGGAAAGGCAGCATACCTGTCAAATGTATTGGAGGGTACAAATAAATTTTTAAAAAAGGACTTCAATTGGTTCTCTTTCTCTAGAGAGAAACATGACCTCCAAGTCTTCTCTCCCATATGGAGAATAACAACCCAAAAATTTATATGAAAGCAGCTGCTGACAATTTGATTACCTGAGCTTTCCTACATCAGCCATCGTGTCAACTGTTCTACAAAATCCAATGTCACCTTGCTCATTCCACACGGAAACAGCCAGACTTGTATTGCTATCACAAGACACAATTCAAGTTCCAGGGACTAGAAGTCCATAATAAAGACACCCCGGTTTCGCAACAGGAACAAATAAGGCATAAATATCTGTGTGCTGTATGTTACTGGCATGAGTTCCTGTGAGATTTATTTGCTGCATTGGGAATTTGGTGTTCTCTTCTGGGAAGGCCGGGGCAGCGAATGCTTTTATAACATGTGGTAGCAAAATGTACACTTAGTCAGCAGCTGCAGCCAATCCCAATTTCTTCACTAATACACCCGCAGGATACAAACGTTAGAGAACATGTTTGTTGCCATTATGTTTTACACCTACACTACACAATGTGCGAAGCAGCTCTAAGAAGGAAGAAATGTGTGAATGGAGCTAAAAACAACAACTGACACTGTAAATGCAAAGAGTCAGGGACTAGGAGAAGCAGCTGGGAAAGAACTGGCTTCTGTGCCAAATCACATTTTCTATGTTTTTAACAACTACAGATACAACATGTTCTTGGGTTTAGTCAGTAACCAGGAGAGCCTGAAAGGCAAAGGATGCTGGAGAGGTCACAAACTGAGTAGGGGGCTTCCAAGAATCTGCCCCACCTGGATTCCACTCTGGGCTGCACTAATTCTAACCGGGCACATAAATGTTTTCCCCCATGGCAACCTTGATTTCCACTTGTTTCATCTGTCTTACTGCTTAGAAGAAAGCCAATAACGTTTCCTTTTGTGTTCTGTGAAATTTAACATATATGTTACACAACTTCATTTATCTGCCTGCTGAGATCTGACAGTGATTAACCTGCAGGGAGGAGAAAAACCGACTCCGCGCCAAAGAGATACAGGGCCGGCAGGCAAGGGACAACTTGGATATTTATTTTTTTGAAGCTTGTGACATATGCACTTCCTCAAAGGCACTCTAAGAATTTATAAAGGACGTGCTTCATCTATTGGAGGTTGAAACACAAACTGATATCCGCTTCGCTGCTTTATCTGGATGTTAAAAAGTGTGAGAGAAAGGGGAAAAAGCAGTTGTGTCTAGAGAGCTAAATTATAGTACAGACGCTGGGCTCTCTCCCTGTCAAAAATGAATTAACAAGATGGTCCTCCTATGAATTAGCTGCTCAGAAGCTTTCTTACAGTCTTGCATAGCAACAGTTCAGTTTTACCCAAGCGCCACTGATATCATTGTCACCTCCTTTCAAATATGGAAGTATAAGATCAACTGACACCTCTGGGCTGCAAATAAACCACATTACTGTATCTTTCTGGAAATCGCTGTTCCGGGCTATTCGCACTATTAACGGCAATGAAAGTGTAAGATATGCTGCCGCTGTAAATAACCTTATCAACACGACTGCTTTACACAATCAGACACCGTAAGGTGCATTAAATGACATTATTTTATACACTGCATCCCAGTGTTGATAAGCAACGCAGTGTCAAACTCATCATCCTGAGGTAACACAGATGTTTTCATGTAAAATGGACTTCTGCATGGAAGCAGAATTCTGTTATGCTGCCCCATCCAATAAAGAAGAAGAAGAAGAAAGAAGAAGAAGAAGAAGAGTAGTAGTTTGGATTTGATATCCCGCTTTATCACTACCCAAAGGAGTCTCAAAGCGGCTAACATTCTCCTTTCCCTTCCTCTCCTACAACAAACACTCTGTGAGGTGAGTGGGGCTGAGAGACTTCAGAGAAATGTGACTAGCCCAAGGTCACCCAGCAGCTGCATGTGGAGGAGCGGGGAATCAAACCCGGTTCACCAGATTACGAGCCTACCGCTCTTAACCACTACACCACACTGACAGTGTTCCTGCTAGGTATTCAAGAAATCGGGGAGAGACCATGAGTGCACCATTTATAAGACAGAACCTGCCTCCCTCTTTTGCTAGTACTCTAACATCCATACTGCTATTGAGGGGGAAGGCTTTACCTAGCTACCTTACCATGAGGGAACAGGTGGCATGTGGAGAGGGCAATGAGCCAGATGGTGACTGTTCAGTTGCTCAGGTGGTTGTGTGTTCCCTCCCTACTCCACTCAGGTTCAAGTTATGCCACTAAACTCCTCTTCAGGAAAGGCTGGGGTGGTTTCCTAAGCAAGAGGAGAAAGTCTATCCTGGCTGCTTTCCTGAAACCGAAGGAGATTTGCTTGGCCTGCCAGAGCTATTGCAATCCCAACGTGGGCTAGGCAGAGAAAGACCAGACCTGCTCGCTCTTGCCGATTAGACAACTTGATTTACTCAAGGAAGCACAAGGCATGCTTTGCCGCCAAGCAGGAAGCCGCCTGCGCCGTCAGAAACCAGCGGCTACCGTTTCCCTCTCGTCTGGCAAGAGGGCTTCTGGCTTGCTCAGACACCGAAGTCAGCCAGCACTTCCACGTTTATATTAAGCCACGACATATGCGAGCGCAGATCTTGAAAGCCTCCGTGTTGGAGCAACACAGGGGGAAATTAGGCCTGCTCAGAGAAACAGCACAGCTGGTGTTTACTACAAACTCAGTGCTGAACAACGAAAAATCTGCAAGGGTCGTAATACTGCACACTTGGCCTAGAAGAACTTGCACCCCACAAGAAGGTGGCAGTGACGTCAGGCAGGATGCATGTGTGAGCTCTTGCTGGGGTGGGTGCTGGAAACATGCAAGATGAGCCCCCACCCCGCAACAGCCAATAAACACACCTAACAGACTAGAACATCACATGACTAGAGCAACCCCTTGCAAGAGCTTCCAGCTCAGCCCTGCCTCTTCGGTCTGAGCAACACTCAGCTCACCACGGCTCGCTGCCAAGTATTTCCGGCCTCACTTTTTATCCGTGCCTCGTCCTGTGCCTTTTTACTTAATGCCGGTTGACCTAGCAGTAGCCCAGTCTGACGTTTCTCCACGAGTGCTCAGGGAATACAAGTCAGATACATGCTTTTTCTTTTTCTGCTTTGCTCCCCCAAACTCAAAATGCTATTAAGCTCTGTTTTTCAAAAAGCGAGACAAGCACAGCAAGGCTACAATTAACGTCAACAGGAAAAAGCGGGTGGTATGGAGAAAATATCGACTGGAAATGCCATCGAGACCTCCCAAGCAAAGTATCAAGACACTCTTATTTTCAGACTAGGGCAGGTAGTGTGCAAGGTTTTGTTGCTGTTGTTGTTCCAACACCCAATGATGGAGTGGACGGCCTAGGTAGGAACAGAATACTATGGTTCAGTTCACCATTGACAGAAAACCATGGTTTCCTGCTATGCGAATGAACCGCGGTAAGCTTTGAGCTTGTGCATTACAGATAGGAGACATCAGCAGAACTCTCCTGCGTAAATTTTTCTAAAAATCATGTTTATAATACATTTATCTTGACATCCAAACTTGGGAAACCCATGCTTTGTTTGAATTAAGGTGAGAACAAATAAGGATAAAAACATAGGGAACTGTGGCTAGTTTAAACTCTGAAGCAGAATCCTCTAATCTCCCCTGAGATGTGGAAGATTTGGGGCGAGGGGGGGGGGCAAGTGAACACAAAAGCCCAAGCAGGCTCATTCATGTAGAGGGGAACGATGACTGCCTGTTGTGCCTGAGGGCCAATGGAGGAAAGCCTTTTCCTACTGGAGGCTGCCTGAACCATTTGCTCATCAGAGGTTCTCCTCCAGGTCCTCCCATCACCTAAAGCGAGGTGGTGGATGCCTAGGAAGAAGACTTTTCCCATCGCTGTGCCTTGCATTAGTAACACCTACCCCAGAGCAGCTCACCTGACGCCACTTTTGATGCCTCTTCAGCACAAGGAAGAGAGTCTTTTTCAGCTGCCTAGCCACTGCAGCATATTTTAGAGCATGTTTTATTTTCGTTTTTATAGCTCTGCTGGATTTTATGAGTGCTACCCTTTTGCACTTTTAACGTTTTATATAGAGATTTCATTATAGCTTCTTCATATAAACTGTACATCACTCAGCAGCCTTTGCAATGAAGAACTGCCGATAGATAATATTAAACAAATTCCAATATGCATGTAAGCAGCTTTGAGACACAACCTAAGGCTCTGTACAGCAAGATTGCAAAGGCCTCATCGCATCTGGAAACCAAGCCTTATGAGGAACGGTTTAGGGAGGTGGGTATGTTTAAGCCTGGAGAAGGGGAGGCTGAGAGGCGATACGATAGCTACCTTCAAATATCTAAAGGGCTGTTACATGGATGATGGAGCAAGCTTGTCTTCTCCTGCTCCAGAGGGTAGGACTCAAACCAATGAATTCAAGTTACAAAAAGGGAGATTCCGACTAAATATCAGAAGAGCTTTCTGGTGGTAAAGCTGATCAACAGTGGAACAGACTCCCTCTGAAGGTGGCGGATTCTCCTTCATGGAAGGTTTTTAAGCCATCTATCTGTCATGGGTGCCTTGCAGGGGGAGTTAGACTAATGACCCTGGGGTCCTTTCCAAATCTACAATTCTATTTTTGTAAGATTCTTGCATCGACTCCTTTCAGGTTCATCCACAGCTTTGCAACAAAACACCATCAACAATTCTACAGCCATACAGCTGACAACCAAGGACTCATGTTTTACTTATTGCTTATTATTATACTATTGTTATTTTTTATTAAATTTATGTACCACCTCCCATCAACAGATCTCAGGGCAGTTTGGAATAAAATGCAAGATAAAACACAATAATTAAACCAAAACCACAAAGCAATAACTCCCCCCTTCCCACAGGCACATGTAAAAGACTGTAGGATATTAATCAGCCAAACGCTTGGTTGAAGAGGAACGTTTTCACGAACGGGGAGCCACTGCAGAAAAGGCTCCGCTCTCTACTCAACAGCCTTGTTCTATACAAGATATCACCCAGAAACATATTAACTCAATTTAAGTCAGAAACTAGGTACCACTTCAAATGTCACTCAGCAGCCTCCTTTTCTCTGCATCCCCGCTATCACAATTCCCCGATTTCCCCCCGCTCAAAATCTTACCTCAAGTAGCAGCAGAGTCTCCTGTTCTGTCCATTCTCGCCCAGCGCTAGCACTTTTGCTCTGTATGAAGGAGAAGGGAAACAGTTCACTCATGTACCCAGTGCACAGGTGAGTATGGCTATCATTGTCAAGAGGTGGGATTGGCAATTTGTTCCATCACAGATGTGTTACTTGTTGGAAGGGGCCTCCCAAAACACAGACAAGCCCTAGTGGCACATGCCATGTCAAGGGAGAACCTGATAAACTCTTGCAAAGTTGCATCATCTGCATCATCATCATTTCATTATTTGTATGGCACCCATCAGGCACTCTGGGAGGCTTCCAGCAATCAATCAATCAATCAATCCATCAATCAATCTATCAATCTATCTAGCTATCTATCTACACACAAAGGTCCGTATAGTTAAAGCTATGGTTTTCCCAGTAGTGATGTATGGAAGTGAGAGCTGGACCATAAAGAAGGCTGATCGCCGAAGAATGGATGCTTTTGAATTCTGGTGCTGGAGGAGACTCTTGAGAGTCCCATGGACTGCAAGAAGATCCAACCTCTCCATTCTGAAGGAAATCAGCCCTGAGTGCTCACTGGAAGGACAGATCCTGAAGCGGAGGCTCCAAGACTTTGGCCACCTCAGGAGAAGAGAAGACTCCCTGGAAAAGACCCTGATGTTGGGAAAGATGGAGGGCACAAGGAGAAGGGGACGACAGAGGACGAGATGGTGGGACAGTGTTCTCGAAGCTACCAGCGTGAGTTTGATCAAACTGCGGGAGGCAGTGGAAGACAGGAGTGCCTGGCGTGCTCTGGTCCAGGGGGTCACAAAGAGTCTGACACGACTAAACAACAACAACAACAACACCCCCCACACACAAAATAAACATCAAACTTTAAAAACTTCCCTATATAGGGCTGCCTTCAGATGTCTTCTAAAAGTCAAATAGTTGTTTATCTGTTTGACATCTGAGGGGAGGGCGTTCCACAGGGCAGGCGCCACTACTGAGAAAGATGACTGCTGCTCCTTGGGGCAGCCTGACTCAGCAGTTGAGGCAAGAATCCCCGAAGCAATCAACACTTGCTCAGTAGGAAATCTGATCAGAATAGAGGGTTAACTATTTCTAAGGTTACGGATCTGTGTAACGGAAGAAGCGCTGCATGCAGGCACTTTCCCTTTAAGACAATGTTCAAACAAGTGAGGTAAAGTGGAAGAGCTCTCCTTTTAGCAACATCCTGCAAAGGAGAATAGTCCCATGGGGAATGGGGGGAGGAAGGATTGCAGAGCAGGAAAGAAGGCAAAATGGCCCTCATTCAACACCCTGAACTGATACTAGGATATGGCTGCTAATTCAAATACCAAGAGCAGATTAGCCTACTATCAGCCCACTTCTCTGCAACTAAGAGATAACAGGAATGCACAACCTGCGTCAAATTTTAATAAATGCAACACACCAGCAAAGACTGGGTTCGTGACTGAGACAAGCTCAGCTAAATAAATGCGCCCCAGTACAGGGGAAGGCTAGCATGCCTTGTCCCAACATCTGCTTGTTTTCCTCTTCCCAAATATCTCCAAATATGGCAATCAAAAGCAATGCTTAGAATGTCCATTAAATGTCCCAGAATTCTCTACAGGTGCTCATAAATATTTAGCATTCTAGGAAAATATCCCCAGCCTTAAAATTAGCATCAATTCTTGTTGTTAAAAAAGCCAAAAAAAGGGATCAATAGGGGTGTGTGTGTGTGAGAGAGAGAGAAACAGAAACAGCTGTTCTGAACCAAACATACAGCATTTATAAAGATTTGACTGTGTAGAAGTTCTGTGCATGGTACACAAACATCACAGGGGCACAAGTCTGAATATTTAATGACAGCCATGTATTTCTGTTGAGCTATCATAAGCAGAGGGCAACAAGGAAATTCCTGCATTGTAAGAACATCCCTGCTGGATCAGGCAAAGGCCCATCACGGCCTAGAACCCTCGTTACCTACGGGACCGCCTCTCCTGGTATGCCCCACAGCGAGCCTCAAGGTCCATAAATAGCAACACCCTAGTGGTCCCAGGCCCTAAGGAAGTTAGATTAGCTTCAACCAGAGCCAGGGCCTTTTCAACACTGGCTCCGGCCTGGTGGAACCAGGGCCCTGCAGGATCTGATTTCTTTCCGCAGGGCCTGTAAGACAGAGTTGTTCCGCCTGGCCTTTGGCTTGGAGCCAATTTGATCCCCTCTCCCTCTTTCTTTTTTCTTTTTCCTTTCTTCTCCTGTGATGAGGCTGCATTTTAATATTTCAATATTTTAATGTTGTATTTTAATCTTGTTTTTAAGTTGTACTCATTCAACTTGTTTATATTATTGCTTGTTAGCCGCCCTGAGCCCAGCCTTGACTGGGGAGCGCGGGGTATAAATAAAAATTATTATTATTATTATTATTATTCTCATCATCATCATCTAGTCAGACACCTCCTTCTCAGTGGCCGGCCAGATGCCCTAATGAGGATCCCTCAAGGAGGACTCAAGTGAAAGAGCATTGCTCTACAGCTTCTGGAATACAGAGGCATACTGCCTTCGATACTGGTCCAAGCTGGTGGTCATTACTACATCTCTTGGTAGCAAATCCCATAGTTGGAACATGTGCTCTGTGAAGAAGTATGTCTGACTTGAATCTCCCAACATTCAGGTGCCTCCAGGAATCCCACAAATAGGAGATGAATGCAAGAGCCCATGAATGACCCCCAGGAACCGGCATTCAGAGGCATGCTGCCTTACATAGCCTTGACTACTAAGTCGCTGATGGGGTGCCCAAGAAACAGAAAATGTAATCTCTGCAAGTTCTTAATGTCTGATGCTGTATTGTTTTTAATATTCAGTTGGAAGCCGCCCAGAGTGGCTGGGGAAACCCAGCAAGATGGGCGGGGTATAAATAACAAATTATTATTATTATTATTATTATTATTATTATTATTATTATTATTATTATTAAACACAAGGGGGGGCAGGCAGGGGTCTGGAAAGGAAAGAGAATATTTAATGCCTTGCCTTTGCCAATGTTTTCTTTGAGTATATGTCTGTACGAAGCCCAAAGTTCTGCAGGTCAGTAGGTTTATCCTTGTTTTTCTCGGGGAAATTCAACATCTGCTGAGCAGCTGGGATCTGGGGAAAGAAATGTAAAAAGGATGAGAGCAGGAGGGACGATACGAAAGCATCAGAACAGTCATATTAATCAGCCTATGTTACTGGGGACGTGCAGGTGGAATGTTGAAAACGTGCTATTTTCTACTACTACCACCACCACCACTACTTAAGAACACTCGAGAGGTGAATTTCTCGCAATCTGTCAGATTAAGAAAAACAGCTACAGTGTCCCTTCTACGACCCATTTGCAGGGCCACATGGCAACTGTGAATCCCTGCTAGAGTTTGCAAATAGATTTTTTGTTTGTTTTTGTTTTAAAGGGACAATTCTCTAAGGCGCTAAAAATCAGGGGTGAAACAGAATGATATAAAAGTTCTTAGCATTTCCCCCTCGGCGTCTGGATGGTACCAACTATTTTGGAAAGCTGTTTGCTTGCTCCGCGTTTGGGCCCCTCTTAATGATATTGTGACCAAATTTCAGGTTCCCCAAGTGCAACAGGTTTCCCTCTATGTTTGGATACCACTGGCCACCATTTTGAACCTTCCCATACTGCACTGGGTTTTTTTTGGTCGCTGAGAATTCCCGAGTGGCACCAGGAAGGAGGCAGCTGGCCCTGCTACAATTCGTAGGGGGCAAAGGCGTTCCAAGATGGCAACAGATCTTTACCTGAGGTGTCCGAAGGTGAAGAGGCATGAGTCCCGAGGGAGTGTCGGCAAGCACGTTGAAGTGTGGGGTGGGAGGAGGACCCATGGCCATGGGTCGGCTCTCTGGGTCCACTTGGTAATTAATAAGCCCCCACTGTTCCAAAAAGGCATGTACCCTAGGAGGTGACATTACAAGAGTAAAAGAACTGGATGAAGGAAAAGTTATCAGAATGGGAAAGGCAGTGGGCAGAAAGAGGGAACATTTCAGAACAGAAGGACTTAAGTTCAAGACCAGTAACTGGGGAACTAGCCCTGAAGCCTCTTACAATAGTTCCACACCCATCTTTTCCTTTTACTCTTGTTCAGCTCATTTCAGTTGGGCTTGGGGAGAACTTCCCAGAATGCTGCATGCATGCGTGTACACAAACACACACCCCTCTGCCCCCTACATGGCACACAAAGCCCATTACTTGATGCAGCTCCTCATCTTGCCTCAGGGCAGGCTCCCCATCTGCTGAAGGGTGAGAAAAACCCTCTTCACTTGCCTTTAGGCAAATTAAGAAGCGGTTATTGTGCCAGGCAATTGGTTTTACTCTCGCTCTTTCGACTGGCTTATCCAACACTGGGTTTTTTGTGGCTTTGTGCTTTATTACGTTGATCTGGTTATATGTTCTTTTGGCATTGTTTAAATTCTGGTTTTGATTTTTGCGAGCCATTATAAACATTTAAAATTAAAATAACCGAGTAGAGCAAAATTATTAAATGAGCATTTGATAAGAGTAAATCTGGCATTTCATAAAATGCAAGCCTTCTGCAGCCTAATAATAATAATAATAATAATAATAATAATAATAATGTGTAATCACAGGCTTCTGAGATGGCTGACAGGAGGTTGTGGAAAGAATATCAGAAAACACAGCACATATTGAAGAAGTTCTTTCCCAAATGCTTGACTGACACCAGTAAGTACTCAGAACTGACATCATGGCCGGGAATGAGTGGCTTGATCACATCATTTGATCTCTGCACCTTTCCAACCAGTCTCTATTGAAACTATATTAGGCAATCAGGGGTTTTTTAACCTAGACCACAGAGATGGGGATGGTGCCTGAAAGATTACAGAGCACCTTGTAAAAATGAAAGAAAAAGACAGCATAGGATATAAGCAAGAATAGCTTCTTCCTTCCATTTCCCACACTGCCTTAGAAACACTCTGCGCATGGATACTCTCCAGGTCAGCTGACAGAAAAAGCAGCAGGTAAGAAAATGCATGGCTGTATTTGGGCATAGAGTACATGTTCTTCGTCTTTCAAGCATTAATGTGCTTATCCCTCAATACTTCCCCAGCCCTGAAGTTTTGAACAATGGGGTTTTTAGCTTGAAAGGGATGATTAAAAACAACACTTTGCTGAGTTGAAGATCCTGTTCCACCTGCAGCCAAGTAAAGCAAGACTTACCGCATTACTGCACAAACGTCTCCAGTCAAGTTCCTTCTGCAGGCAGTGCTAGTCAAGTACTCTTGAGGGTTTAAGCGATACGTATCAATCATGAAATTGCGGTAAGCCAAATATCTGGAAAGAAATCCACAGACATAATATGGATACACCTTCCCACTGTGCGTCACTTGAGAATGTTAGGGTCTCTTTAACAGAGAAGGCTATTAAGATGCTGAATTACTTGCCCTTCACCCTAAGGTACTAGGGCAGGTTACGACGAAATACTAAAAACAATTTAAAGCAGCGTACAGTCACAAAGATAAGGAGGTCCCTAAAAATATGCACCTCAAGTGTCAAAAGCCAGGGCGAACAGATGCCTCTGTGGGGGCGGAGTTCCATAACTTAGGGGCCACCACAGAGAAGGCCCTCCCAGGCTGCTGCCAACCCTCCTGCCCCCCGAACTTCTGAGGGTGAAGAAACTACTACAGGAAAGGAGGCGGTTTTTCAGGTGATATTGACAATTTAACTATGTGGTTGATCATTAACAACCTGTCTGAGGAAAGGTCTATCGAGAAGCAAAACAAACACCTTCAATCTCCTTTTCTGAATTGAACAGACACGCTGACCTATTTCAAACAAAACAAAACCAATTCCTGTTATGTTCAAAACCAAGGCCTGCTTTTAGGGACTGAAGCAAAACAAAGGGAAATGAGGGCTTCAATGTGCAGCTTTTACGCCGTGTCTCATCTACTTGGGTGTCCTCGGTTTACTAATAGGACACATACCTTTAGTTACAACCCCGGCGTCAGAAGAAGTTTTGAGTTTCAGTTCAGTGGAGCCTTACAGAGGGGGCAGCAAGGTGCCAGCTATTCCAAGGCAACTTCTCTTATGCAGTAAGCCTGAGAGGGTTTCACACATGGAAGAGCAGCTGAGGAAGACCAACTGGGACTTCAGCCTGCTTCCTTCCGCACTCTTCCATGGTGAAACCGGGTTGGGGGTGGAGGCGAGAACAAAAAGCAGAAAAGAAAAGGAAAATTGGAGAGAGAGAACAGCAAACATTAAGAAGAGGCACACAGGATAGAAACTACGGAGCTCAGGAGGCAGAAAGCAGGAAAATATTATCCAGCAGCTATTTCCATTATGTAAGGGGAATACATTTTCTCTTTATCTTGTTGGCCCACTTAATGATTTATCTTCTAAACACTTCATTTTTGCGCAGAAAAAATAAACCAATGCAAAGTAGGGCCCAGGTGAGCTGTCTCTCTTTAGCACTTTCCTTGGTGCCTCCATCCCTAAAAAAGTGCAGGTTAAAACTGCTCTCTTGGATGTAAGCCAGATGCCTGGCAGCAAAACCTCTCAGCACTGGCTCCCAGGGAGGCAGGCCTCTTTCTCCTGCAATACCGGATTTAAACAGCATCTCAGAACCTACAGCCTCTGGCAAAATATCTTTTATTTGGAGCTCCAACCTCCCAGCCCGGAGGGCCAGGCCAGGCACAAGAACCCAAAGCCATCCAACTATTGTTTTTTGGGGGGGAGAGGGGGAGGAAATCAGGCTTTGGAAGTGAATGCTTTTAAAAAAAATTATTTATTGATTAAAAATTTACATATCTATACAAACATTATATGCTATCTCTTTACATACGAAGAAAAAGAAAATTATGTAGAGAATAGAAAATTTCCAAAGGAACAAAAAAGAGGAAAAGGGAAAAAAATTAAGAAATAACAGAGATACGAAGTATAAAAAAAATCGAAAGAGGAAAAGACATGACAAGATTATTTACACAATAAAAGTGTTCATCGACACAATCCCTCCCATCCTTCTCATTTGGAAGTGAACCCTTGGGAGCACAGAAGCATTGAGGAAGGCTGCTTGGAGCACAATAAGGAATGTCCATAGCTCTGTTACACAGGACAGAAGAGGAGACAGTTTGCAAGTATAAAAAAACCCCAAAAACCCGTAATGATCATCCAAAGTAGAGGACAGGGGCAGGTGCCCCCCCCCTTGTCTCAAGGAAAAGAGGCCTCGTGGCTCCTGCTTCTATCAAAATTCCAAGCCTCAGGAGTGGATTTTGACGGTGGGAGGAGGGGCTGGAGAGGACAAAAGAGGAAGCTCTGTTCTGCTCATGGAGGTCTGTTGGACCAGCAGAGCTGCAGTACTGGATACGGCCCAAAACACGTAGAATTTCAGCATGGCATGAAATCCTTATGAAATTGACACAAACTCCACGTTTCTCCAAACCCGTCTTTCCAACACTAACTTTGTACAGTGGTGCCTCGCAAGACGAAATTAATTCGTTCTGCGAGTTTTTTCGTCTTGCAAATTTTTCATCTTGCGAAGCACGGTTTCAAAAGAAGTTTTGGGAAAGCTTCAAAAATCACCAAAGTCTTCAAAAACCTCAAAAAAGGCTACCACACCGCGTGCAACTGCACCTCTTCAAGCAATGCACCCTGGGTATTAACGGTTTTAAGAAAAAGGAAACAAACTTGCAAGACGTTTTCGTCTTTCGAAGCAAGCCCATAGGGAAAGTCGTCTTGCGAAGCAACTCAAAAAACCAAAAACCCTTTCGTCTTGCGAGGCATTCGTCTTGCGAGGTGCCACTGTATTTCCTTCCATGTCCTTACATTATGTTGGATGCAGACTGCACTCAGCCCTCAAAAAACTCACTTGCCTCTGAGTGAGTTGCTTCTAAAGACAGTGTCCGCAGTACACGGAAAGATCCAAGATGGATTCCTTGTGCTGTCTCAGACAGGCATGCATGCAGGAAAAGCCGCTTATGGTGTCAGGGAACTGCCAAGCTGAAGAGCAAGTCAAAAGCCCCATTGCAAGAGGTCAGAAATTGTTACATCTGCACCTGTCTGTAATGGCCCTGGGTATAACCCGCTGTACCTGTTATAAGCAAAGAGGGGGACACAATACATGCTTACATTGTTCTGCTTTTACTTACATTTCTGGGGTCTTAGATTTGTTTTTCCCATTGAAGAATTCTGGAAGAGCACGGCGCTCGATTACATGAATACTGTGTCAGGAGGAAAAGCGGAATGTGGTCACTGTAGAACATGCCCAGATTCATTCAACACTCTGATCACACACTATGAACTAAGCAACCACGGCTAAGAGCATGACATCTATCCAAGACAAGACCTTTTCTATAAATATAGGTTTAAGAAACAGTTATTTAACCTTAAGAGTCTTCAGATCACTAATACCAAAGGAGGAGGGAATAACATTCCGAATCTACATTTGGGCTGTAGCAAACAGCCATGTCAAAGCTAAGAAATAAAGAAAACAGGAGCTTCTTTTTTAAAAAAGCAAAAAAAAAAAAAAAAAAAAAAACAACCCACACCAACTCAACCTATATGGATCTTGAGGTTCCAGCTCTGCTTCCAATTCCTTTAACATACAGAGCACTCTTCTGCTTTATCTGCAACACACCACAATGTGCAGTGTTCTGGATATAATCCCTTTACCATCAATTGAATTATGAAATGGATTTTTCTATTTCAGAGAACGATCGAAAGGCTAGTTCATTTATTGAAAGATTAGGTCGAAAATAATTGGGTAATGTGAATTTTCTTCCACAAATTGCTTTAATAGCCTCCAAGAGAGACTGCCATTAACAGAGGTTCCTGACTTGAAGGTCTTCACATGCATTTACTTTAATTGTCCTCAACTGCCCCCCTCTCCCATAATAGAGCTGCATATATAGAAGGTGTTTCTCGGGATTTAGGCCAGAGATGAGTGTTAGGACCTTCTCCCCCAAGAGTGCTTGGGCCACTGACTTTTAACACACAGGAACAGAAAAGCAGGCCCTGCTGGATCAGACCGGCATCCAGTTTTCCACGGTGGCAAACCACATTCTCAGCGGAAGCCCAACAGCAGGACATGAAGGTAATAGACCTGAGCATCCTTTACTGATGCTGGTGCTGTGTTAATTTTATTTATGGTAAAGGGAAAGGGACCCCTGACCATTAGGTCCAGTCGTGGCTGACTCTGGGGTTGCGGCGCTCATCTCGCTTTATTGGCCGAGGGAGCCGGCGTACAGCTTCCGGGTCATGTGGCCAGCATGACTAAGCTGCTTCTGGCGAACCAGAGCAGCACACGGAAAAGCCGTTTACCTTCCCGCCGGAGTGGTACCTATTTATCTACTTGCACTTTGAGTGCTTTCGAACTGCTAGGTTGGCAGGAGCTGGGACCGAGAACGGGAGCTCACCCTGTTGCGGGGATTTGAACCGCCGGCCTTAACCCACAGCGCCACCTGCATCCCTTTTATTTATGGTACCCAGATTTTTATTACAAATGTTATTGCCTCATGTTTAAATTGATATAGTGCACTCGAGGCTTTAGGAGGAAAAGTGACTCAAAATTTGCTTTGAATTAAAGAAACACCCTCTTCTCTAGCACTAAAAGCTGTATATGGAAATTATTAATTGAATTAACAGGACAAATGGCGAAGAATACCTACACATCCTATGCTTCTGGAGGAATGTTATCTCTGGCATGTTGTGCCTGACTTGGTTGAAACACAAGATTTAACTTCTGAAAGATTCACCACGGAAATGAAGGGAAACAGGCGGACATGGATGTAAAAATACCTCCTCCTTTTTGGCAACCAAATGACGCAAGTCTCAGAACGGCAATTATACCAGGCCAATTTGCATTCCGTTTAGAGGGTAGTGTCTAGCCTAGTTACAAGTGCTTGGGCATGCTTTGGATACGAAAACACTTTCCCCAGACAGCCATTAGACAAGCTGCGTCCACATACGTCAGAGCAAGGCACTTCAGGGCCGGAAGAATCAGACATGATTTTATTCATATCTACAACTGCATGAGGAAGACGGGTCCCATAGCAGCAAGGAAGAGAAAAAATGCGGAACAAAAATTTAGGGGGTGGGGGTATTCAGTGTGCCACTCAGTTTTCTTTAAAGGAATTGGGAATAATTTGGTTCTTATTTTTATGTGTAAAAGCTGCCTTGAGGGGTACAAATAAATAAAAATATAATGATAATAATAATAATCACTTCAATGGGCAGTGAAGGTCTAACTCTGACATTCAGAAAGCCTTCATGTGTACAAAATTAAGTGCAGTCTAAGATAAGCCATAATGCAGAAGATTTAGCATTTTATCGAACGCTACCTGAGTGGTGTTCAGCTTACACAATGGGACTTTCACTTCCTTTCCTTTCCCCAAGCCCGTCCCACCACACATCAGCTCTGAGGGTCAACAATCTTCTGGAGCAGATTTTGAGGGTGTGTAGGGGGGCTGCAGAGGAGTGGAGTGAGGGGAGGAAGCTCCATTGTACGAGTAGCACTGCAGCGATGGATAAAACTCTCAGGTTCCCGGGCCTGACACCTATTACAGTGGTGCCTCGCAAGATGAAATTAATTCGTTCCGTGAGTTTTTCGTCTTGCGAATTTTTCGTCTTGCGAAGCACGGTTTCGGAAAAGTTTTGGAAAAGCTTCAAAAATCACCAAAGTCTTCAAAAACCTCAAAAAAGGCTACCACACCGCGTGCTATGAGCTGCTCCTCGAAGTCAAGTCGCAACTGTATTAATGGTTTTAAGAAAAAGGAAACAAACTTGCAAGACGTTTTCGTCTTGCGAACCAAGCCCATAGGGAAATTCGTCTTGCGAAGCAACTCAAAAAACCAAAAACCCTTTCGTCTTGCGAGTTTTTCGTCTTGCGAGGCATTCGCCTTGCGAGGTACCACTGTACATATTCAGCAGCGATATGGATTTATCTACTGTTCTGGCTGAGAAAGTGACCTCAACGCACACATTTAGGACATGCTGCCTTCATTTAGGGAGGAGGGAAGAAGCGGATGGGTGCACCCCATTCTTTATTCCTGCACTTCAGTATCCATTCAAAGGGAACAGAAACAGCTCATCTTGCAACCCAAGCACAACATCTATCCAACCTGGTTTGAACATCTGTAGTGCCGAGCTCTACAAAGAGGTTTGTTTCACTTATTTAGCAGCCCTTCCAGGCAGGAAGCTGCTAACAGCCAGTCTACAGGCTTAAACTGGTCATGGCCCACCATGCTGAGGCAGAAGGCAAGGTTAGTTTTAACTGACCATACGGTTCCTGGGTTATACCTGGGCCAAGTTATCTAGCATCCAGTACGGTTTGCAACAAATGGTGCATAGAGGCCAGTTTAGCTGAGATAACTACAAAATGAAAATATGTGATGTAGAGTGGAAAGGAAGGTTAATGTCAAAGGCTGCAACTTTCAGATTGAGGTAGTTTTTTCTGCTGTGAAATACATCACAGGAACATGAGGGCAGGTTAACGTGCAAGTGGCTGTCACACATAGCAGACTCTGGATCTGTGACAATTCCCTGGCTCCCTACACCCTAGAACGTACCAGTTATAGTCAAACCAGGATGCATAGCTGGGGATAATGATGTGATTTGTCTGCTCCGTGACATTGTCTTCTCCGGTATCTATCGAGCGGCTCTGGTCACCTTTGTTGGGATCTTCGTCCTCCTGCAGGAGGAAAGATATGGAGTTGTTTGGGAGGTCAGCTATTGGCTGTGCAAACCACACAAAAAAAGTTCAAAAGGCCATAGTGATGTCAGGGGGCAGCGGTGGGAAACGTTTTCTGGCCACAGGGCCAAATCTTGAAACTTCTGGAGGGCCCAATTTGGCAGGCGGGCAGGGTTACCCACCTGACATCACAGTGACATCAGTTAAAGCTGCACTTTAGTTCATTTTTACTCATTCTTCTCTAAATGAAGAGCTAGCAGTTTACCTTTCCTCCCGTGGTGACCGTCTCCTCATCCTGCTCATCTGCAAAATAAATGAGCAGAGAGAAATAAACACAACGGTACAACTAACGAGCCTTTACACTTCGTGCCATCCAGATGTTTTAGACTACAACTCCCATCAGCCCCAGCACCCCACAGCCACGTTGGCTAAGGCTGCTGGGAGTTGTAGTCTGAAACCCTTGGGGGCGCCTGGACAATGAAGGCTGCTTTACCACCATTACGCCTCAATGGGGCAATAACTGCAGCAAGAACAAGAGAAGAAAAATATGCACAAGCCATTGCTAGAGAAGTCATGTGACTTGGCAAACATTGAGCCTGTCACAGGAGAAAGAAAAGGAGCAAGGGTGTATTCCATAAGGCAGTGTTTCCCAACCGGTGTTCCGCGGCACACTAGTGTGCCGCGATACGTTGCCTGGTGTGCCGCGGGAAAAATTGGCGGGGGGGGGGGAATAAAGGGGAAAAAATTATTCCCCCACCGCCAGGCGTGGGGCTGGGGCGGGGGAAGCTTATTGTTTAGATTTAGCTCCCGCCAGGGACAGAGTCGGGAAGGCGGATTGGCGGAGGGAGCGGTGGGCGTGGCCGCGCGCGAGGAGTAGGCGGGGGAGCCGAGGCGCGAAGCTCGGGGGTTGGCTGCGGCGTCTCCGATCGCCGCGCGGGGATTGGTGGCTCCGCCGTTCCGTCGTTAAGCCGGCGGCGCGTGGGGAGTGGGCTTTCGGCGTTTGGGCTTGAGAGGGAGAAGGAAGCAGGCAAGGCGGGCGGGGGGAAAAGAAGAGATCTGTCATGGCGCGGGTGTCTGTCCTGGGAGTTTCGTTGCTGGAGAACCCGAGCCCCTTCGGCCACCCGCTCCGCTTCCAGGTCCAATTCGAGTGCGGGGAGGCGTTGCCTCACGGTGAGTACGCGGGGGGGGGGAGGAGAATCTCCCGCGCCAGGAGCCTCGTTCCCCAACCGACCCTCAGCCCGAGCCAGGTTCCGTCGCACACGGCGGCCGCCCGCAACCGACATCCGGGAGCCCCCACCCCTCCGCCCAGGATGGCAGCGCTGGGTGCCTCCACTCCCGGGGCTTCCGCTGTGGCTTTATTTTGCCAGCCTGGACCCGGCTCTCCACACAGGGGCTGCTACGTGGGCGCTGTACCTTCTAACTACCTTTAAAAATAAAAATAGAGCTTTTATGAACTTGGTGCCTTAAGTTTTGGGGCTGCAGAGACTTAATTGGGGCGAGGCTGCTCTTGAGATGGTGTGTGTGTGTGTGTGCATATACATATAAATACACACACTTAAAAATGCCACCGGATGTGGAGTGTCCTTCTGACCATTCTGCTGAATGAGGCCTTGGCCTCTTCCAGGAAGCCCCAGCCGGCAATACTGTTGGTCTGGGCAAAGAGCCAGTGTGGGGTGGAGATTTGGGCTGAGGCGACCACGGTTCAAATCCCTACTCAGCCAGGCAGCTCTCTGAGTGACCTTGAGCTTGGCATCTAACCTACATCACAGGGTTTTTAGAAGTGGGTTGAGGGTGAAAGCTATGCATGTCTCATTTAGCTCCTTGGGGTAAAGGTAGGATTTAAATTGGGGGTCATCAACCTTTTTCAGCCATGGGCCTGGCCACCATCCCTCAGAAGATGTGTGCCAGAATATATATTTTTTTTGGGGGGGAGGGGTTTGAACAAATTCCTATGCCCCGCAAATAACACAGAAATGCATTATAAATAAAAACACACTGATTCCTGGACCATCCGCGGGCCAGATTTAGAAGGCAATTGGGCTGCATCCGGCCCACGGGCCTTAGGTTGCCTACCCCTGATATAAATGAAATAAAATAGCATTGGCTGTTTTGGGGTGGCATTGGCTGTTACACACTGTTGGGAGCCCCAGCGCAGGCCGTGTCCTGACCTCAGTGCCAGCAGCCTGAGGGCAAGGTGTAGCTGCTTGATGAGATCAGCAGAGAGCTCCGGAATGAATGCCCGTATTCTTTCCCCCCCAATAAATCATAGGCTCTTTATTTGTTCCTATTACACTTTCGTGCGTCCCTCCCGGCGTGACGCTGCGCGCTGAAGTCACGGGGCTGTAATGGTGGTGTGCCTCGATATTTTTTTCATGAAACAAGTGTGCCTTTGCCCAAAAAAGGTTGGGAAACACTGCCATAAGGGCCAGTAAATGGGCACTCACTTAAGCAGCAGCCTTGTATTATTATTATCTGAAGGAGTGTCTCCACCTCCATCGTTCTACCCAGACACTGAGGTCCATCTCCAAGGGCCTTCTGGTGGTTCCCTCACTGCGAGAAGCCAAGTTACGGGGAACCAGACAGAGGACCTTCTCGGTAGTGGCGCCCGCCCTGTGGAACGCCCTTCCACCAAATGTCAAAGAGAACAACAACTACCAGACTTTTAGAAGACATCTGAAGGCAGCCCTGTTTAGGAAAGCTTTTAATGTTTGATGCATTACTGTATTTTTAATATTTTGTTGGAAGCCACCCAGAGTGGCTGGGGAAGCCCAGCCATATGGGTGAGGTAATAATAATAATAATAATTATTCTCCTGCATTTATTTATATCCCACCTTTTTCCTAGACCAGAAAGGGGCCTGTGGCATGGGACTCAGGGGGCCAACTCACCCCCATCATGCCTGTTCCTGCTTTAGCTGGGAGTGGCCCTTCTCCTGCACATTGTAAGGCTCAGTGGGGAAGAGAGGAGGGATGCCCAGGGGAGTGTCTGCTGGGACCATCACTGGGCACCTGCCTTGCTCCATTCCCCTGACCTTAATAAGGTAAGGATGCTGCTTAAGTATCCTTGATTTCCCTTAACATTTTTGTTGTGAATGCCTTTTTGGTAGGAACACAGATGTGCATTGTTTTAAAACACTGTTGGAATATATTGAATTGGTATAATTTGTATTTGCATTTTTGTATTTCTATGTATCTGTTTTTTCCTGAGAACCACCTTGGGAGCCCTCTTGGTTGGAAAGCAGAATATAAATAATCAGTGATGTAAAAAAGCAAGTCAGAGGCTGTTGAACTCCTCCTGGCCTATAAAGCCCTACTTGGCCTTGATCCACCATGTCTCACTCCATATGAGACCACCTGCCCATTAAGACCAGTATGAGAGGCCCCTACTTAGGGGTTCCTTCCCACCTAAAGGTAAAACAAGCTGGAAAGCAATAAAAGCTTTTTGCCACAAATCTATCACTACCCTGCTTGAAAAAGCATGCTTCCACCTGAGGATATTTTAGGGAAAATAATCTAAGACCTTATTTTATTTTTAACCCACAAAATTACAAACATTTTTGGGACTCACACTGTTTCAAATGCATTTAACAAATTGCCAGTTTCATTTGTGAGTCTGTCATTTGTAACTGTCAGAAAAATTGTGAAGGTTTAGTTAACGCTAGTGGCATTGTCTCGAAGAAATGTGAGCTTCCCTGAACATTGTTTTAGTAGGGCAGGATATAAAAAGACTTGCCATGGCACTGTCAGCTATTTTAGTGAAGAATCACCCTTCCCCTACCTACAGAGATAATTTTAAATGCCTGGGGCAGTTTTAAAAATAATAATCGTCTGGCAGCCTTTTGGAGGCTTCTCCCCTCTGCATCCTCCTTTAGAATGAGAGCCCTCCAGAGAGTAAGAATAAGCCTCTGGAACGGGCTGAGTTACAAAGCAAATACAGTTGCCAGCCTCAAAGAAGAGGGGGAAATCCATCATTTAAAAAAACCAACCAAAGAACTTACCAAGGTCTGCTACTGTTCCTCCTTTCACAGGAGTATTTTCACTATCTTTCTTTGGATTTACTGCAAAAATTAAACAAGATTGAGAACGTCAGGCTGTGCCTTCTCTGCAGTGACACTGCATGGGTTGTTACATTATGCAAAGGTAGCCTAGCCACCTCTTCACTCTCCCCACCATCAATCATATGGTTATGAACCACATTTCCTCATTATCTGGCTTTGCACACAATGAGCCCCCATCCCAAGCTAACAATCTTCCTTTGCATTTGTTGGTGAATTAGACTTGATAAATAAAGAACTCAAGGTTAGGCTGGGCAAGGTTAGGATGAAAGGCAGTGAGCGGTTCATTAGGATCATCCAGTTATGTTTCTGGTTCTCATAAAAAAGAACTCATGAGCAAAGACTAGGACTGGCTGCATATAAGTTGAGGCCAGATGACCAAGGCCTCCTGATCAAAGCCCAGCTGACTGACTTGCTACTCTGCAAACAGCAATTCTGAAGGATGCTGTCCTACTACTGCAATACTTGACGGAAGAACCATCAAGCCTTTCTATTCAGACTTGCTATAAGTAGTTATTTTGAAAATCAGGTTCTTGCCTGGAACATCAAGTCACTCTTACAGTTGAGTCTTATTTTAACAGGTTTTTAAGACAGAGACCACTGAAAATCTTTGCCCAATAAAAAGAACCAAAAGAAGGGGCCAGTTGCTGGACCTGGCCAAAGAACCATCTAGTTCAGCATTGTGTTCTCACAATGGCCAAGCAGACCATCGCAAGCCGGACCTGAGAGGAACAGCACTCTCTCCACCTCTGATTCCCACAGTACAGCTAGAAGTTACTTATTTCATAAAACTGATACACTGCTGGATTATTAGAAAAACTCACAAAGTGGTTTACGAAAAAGATAAAGCAATACAATTATCTATAAGAAGAATTATTAATAATTAGACTTCCAAAAAGTTAAAATAACAATAGACTAAAAACAGATTAAAATCTGCATAAACATAAGATGAGTAGCCAATGATAATTATCCACCCTGAGACTGCGTAGGACTTCCAAGACACAATTGGGAGAAAGACCTTTGCTTCAACAATAGACCTTCCTTGTTTTGTGGCTTGAGACTGAAGTGCCCACGCAATGGGGAGTAAGTAAGCTGCACTGTAGACATCAGCACTGCCTTTGTGCCTTGCCGCTCCTTTGCCAGCCTAATGAAACACTTCTAAAATTTCATGCTCAAGGCCTGTCAAGTGGGAGACCTGCAACTGCACAGCTGAGGTGTTAGAATAAAACACAGTAGTGATTGGGGGGGGGGGACAGAAGCCACTTCCTTGTTCCAGCTCTGCAGGAGACCAAGGAGAAGACTGGCCAATAAACATGGGTGCAGGATTTGTGCATTCACAGCTTGCTACATTTAACTGTTTACTTTGCTGATCTGTCCACCACAGTTCAGAAGAGGATGACGGGCACCACGCCTGCTGCAAGCCCAAGAGGGCACTGCTGTCAGCTTGCAGGCAAAACTGATTTGTGTTCTCGCAAGGGTCTTTTGTGAGTAACTGCGGCGAGCCATTATTCTTACACATTCTGGAAATTACTCTCTTGCCCAGTGCTTCTCATGTTTCTGACAGTCATCTGTCTAGCACAGCCTCTGGTGCCTTGTCTACATCTTGTGCTAAACATGATGATGGTAGATAAGGAACAGAGCCTTCCAATAACCGATCAGGAAGCTCCAGCTCCAGATCAGCAGAGTATTATGGCAGTATATCTTTTAAGCATGCATTTTGCTGAGGAAACACGCTCCTCTTTCCAACAGCTAAAAATGTACACAAAGCCAGCTCTGAAGGGGTTTATTCAAGATCAAAATACAGACTAGATATTTTCGATGCTCCGAAGCAACGGAAACCAAATGCACTTCCACAATATATTCGGGGGGAAACAAACATTTATGTTGGCAGCTGGGGATTTATCCATTGGGAGGGAGGGAAAAGATATCTGGGTAGTGGAGCTGATCACATAACTGTGAGCCAATTACGGTCTGCAAACACAGACAAAAGAGGCAGTTTTAGAAGGAAGAAGGAGGAAGTTCTGGATAGAAGAATGTCTGGCTTGCTTCGGGAGGAAGGAGAGACGTAAGAATGGAAGCACTGGCGGTTGAGCCACCTCTTTTGCAGGTCAACTCCAGCAGGGGCTTGAACACATTGCCTTAAGACTTTTAACATGAACAATTGTTTTCACAAAGGGAAGCAAAGATTGGCCTTTAATTCTTGGGGCAGGGGGGACCCTAAGAAAACAGGAAATTCATAAATCATGCTCACATTACACTGAGTTCTGGATTGGACACACACTCTCTCCCTTTTGCTTTGAATGCAGGAGAGGTGCAAAGAGCTTCTCTCTGTGAGTAAGCCTGATGTGTGCGCCATTGGAGCAGTGTTCGAAACTCCCACTGTTTTAGGCGCAGTTTGCGACAGGGAAATGTCATTAGCACGAGCAGTTTCTGAGCCCTGGGCGCAGTACTGCACCTAAGATTTCAGATTAAAACTGCAGAGTGGAAGGAAAGGAGGACCTTCTTCTGCCTCCCCACTTCCAGCTACCCTCTGAAGACTGGAGAAGAGACCCTCTTAAGAATATTAGGGTGGTGGGCAGTGGAAGGACTAGACTATGTGAAAAATGAACGTAATATTCATTTTCAGCTTTGTATTCTTGTTATAAAAAAGTGCGCCTAGACATTCCGTTGTTGCACTCATAATCTCGATTTAAGGTGCCATTTAGCTCCTAGTTTTCATATCTGTTTCTAACACTGCGCTGGAGAGATATCTCTGCACGCATGGCAAGAATGTGTTGTGCTCTGCAAGAGCAGTCACTCAGACCCAGGTTTTATGCAAAAAGTCCAGTTCCGTTCCATCAAGATTACCCTTCATCAGCATCAACAAACAAGACATGGCAAAAGCCACAGTACGGAGACAGCTCAGTCACGGGGCAAGTATCTGGAACACTGTACCATTTTTAGGAAGTACCACTTCTTCTATGTTAGGCACAGGGGTTGGATCCTCCATGTCCTTGGTAAGATCTTCTTGCTCATCTTCTTCCTTTTGCCCTCGCCTTTTCCCATATAGGCTTGCTTGCCTGTGACAAATTAAGCACAAACAACAAGTCACCTAATGGCTTCCTAACATATGGCTGCATCAGCTACATTCTGTACTACTGTGATACTGCATCTGAAAAGTTTGGGCAGAGCCCATGTACCTGTAAGAAACCTCTGGGCAATGCTATTCACTAGGTGAATAGAAACCCCAATATTTCTGGCTGGATGGCCATCTGTCATGGATGCTTTACTTGAGAATCCTGCTTAGCAGGGGGTTGGACTAAGGTACTGGGTACCTTGGGACGCAGGTGGTGCTGTGGTCTAAACCACAGAGCCTACGGCTTGCCAATCAGAAGATCGGTGGTTCGAATCCCTGCAACGGGGTGAGCTCCCGTTGTTCGGTCCCAGCTCCTGCCAACCTAGCAGTTCGAAAGCATGTCAGAGTGCAAGTAGATAAATAGGTACCGCTCCGCCGGGAAGGTAAACGGCGTTTCCGTGCGCTGCTCTGGTTCACCAGAAGCGGCTTAGTCGTGCTGGCCACATGACCCGGAAGCTGTACACCGGCTCCCTCTGCCAATAAAGCCAGATGAGCGCCACAGCCCCAGAGTCAGTTACGACTGGACCTAACGGTCAGGGGTCCCTTTACCTATACCTGGTACCTTAGGAGTACCTTCCAACTCCAAAGAATTTCTAATTAATATTCTGAAGCTAACAGTGATCATTTTGTAGCGGTGTGACTCTCTGGGACTAGATAGATACGCCTGGCAGAAATCAGTGACTGCAGGCAAATGCATTCTTCTCCATTTGTGGCATAGGGTTTTAGGAGATATGGAATTGGGGGTAAGTCTAACTGTAATAAGGAAAGGAGGGGTAGACAATTATGGCCTCCTTTTTTCCAAGCTTCTCTGCCCACCCACTGAGCCACATTTGAGCCTTTTTAATGTCGTCAGTCCAGAACAGACCATTAATCATTCATAATATAATCTTAAGTGGCGAATCTGGTGTGTATAACAGAGACGTGGTTTGAAGGCCCAAGAGAGTCTGTCTGAATCCAGCTATTCCTGATACAAGGTCACTGAAAAGGAAGTGTGGGGCCCTACTAAGGAGATGGTCATGCTTAGCAGGGGCTCAGTCTAAGGCACAGCCCATTTTGCGTGTGTACACATAGTACAGGAAATCAGGACAGAATAAGGACTCTGCTTCAACCCACCATGAACAAGCGAAGATTAATTCACTAGACTGGATCTTTAGTGAAGAGCCCGGCTTTCAGAATTTCAGGAATTCATTTCTGGAGGAAGCTGTTATCCTAATCAATAATGCTTCCTTTTAAAAAATTATATACACTATGATGCTGTTCAACTGTTTTAATTTAAGCTACTTTGAGGGGCGTATGGCAGAAAAGTCACACATAAATTTCAAATATGAATAATGTGTGCAATAGCTTAGGCTCATACAAGGAAGAAAACAGTTGTCGTTTTTTACGTTCAACAACTGCACCGACAACTGTATTAAAGAACAGAGTTACATCAGGACAGACTTTGCCATATTGAGAAGTAAATTTGCTTATTAATGGTCTCCGCATGTCAACTGTGAGGCGCTCATTAGATTGGAAGTAATGACTGCGTCAAGTTTTCTTCTACTGGCAGGAGGTACATTCCCCTTGGATGATCAAGGAATGAAGCTCAATGTGCAGCATTAAACATTCATGGACTCAAGGAGACGGCATCTTAGCAGGCCGCTGTAAATGTGGAGTTGAGCCGAGCTGCTGGCTCATCTCTCTCCCCCTCAAATATTTCAGAAATAAATTATTGTAAACTGCAGGAGCTGCAGACTACTCACCCCTTCTTTCCGGCTTTCTTCCTCGATTCTGCTGGGGTGGGAGGAGGTGGCGGTGAAGGGGAGTGCCGCCGTTTTCTGGCACCTGTGGCTGCCTTCCTATCTCTCCGCTCAGGGCTATGGACTGGCTGTCACGAGGGTGGGGAAAGGTCATCAGCGATAGGCATAACCTGTCCAGAACTAAGATGCACTCTGCTAGCTACCAGGGCCTAGCACTGTCAGTTTTTGCTTAGTAAGATTTCAGGGAGAGGCTGCCAACTACTTAAGTGTACTACTACCCAGCCCTTCAAAGATGTACTGCAAAAATCCACTTAAGGAAGCAAGGTAGGCTAAAACTTCAACATATGAACTGCTGCATGTAAAAACTGACACATCACACACACACACACACACACACACACACACACGTACATACACCCTATGGAAAGAACTAGTCAAAGGGATTCAGGCAAAGTTAACAGGTCTAAAAACCCCCCTCTTGGCTCCAGCAGACCAGAAGATGGGAAATAGATGGGCCTGTGGAAGGTCAACAGAACTGGTTCCTAGCTCCTCCCAAGCAAGCTTGTTCACTTGCCATTTCAAGGAAAATTTGAGTCATAGAGCTAAGTCCCACACTAATTTCAAGAAGAATACTGGCATTTCTTTGAGAACCAGACAATCGGCTTAGGTATAGCAGCACTGAGTAAAACGAAAGAACACCCAACTAATGCAGTTATTGTACATTACATCCATCATATGAAATAGGTAATCTTACTTCTTCATTTTTCATATAGATACGCTGGCGAAAGCTGACCAACTTCTTGTTCTCATCTACTTCATAATCTTCTTCATTCATCCATTCATTGAATACATCTGTGTCCAAAATCCACTTAGCATGAACCTACAAAAGCAAGTGCGACAACACACAGGCACAGAGTGCATTTGAGACAGTCTCCTCTCATTTTGAAAACACGTTACAAAAATTATTGCAATCCACTATGTGATCAACTGCAGCAAGCAAGAAAGTCAGAACTCCTTACTTCCACATTAATTTTTATTTGTCAGAATTTGTAAACTGCTCTGCATTCAGAGAACACCCAAGTAGTACACAAGAACAGAACACAAAATAGATCACAAAAAGCACTGCAACACAAAAACCACCAAGAATGAAAAACTGCAAAAAAGAAACAAAAATAATGACAATAATTTTATTGTTTATATGCTGCCCGTCTGAATGAGTTGCCCCAGCAATTCTGGGTGGCTTCCAACAATGTACAGTTGCCTTTCAGGGGTTACAGAGACATGCTATTCATGTAGCTCTTAAATTGAGTCTCCAAAAGCAACCGTTGAAATAATCTCCAGTAGCAGAGCTGAGAAACATTCCCATGGTGGAAGTTGGAGACCAGCAAAATCTGGAGTTCAGCAAGTTAGCCACTCCTGGTATACAGGGTGTGTTCATGAGATTTAGCTTGGCCTTCGCCAGCCTGGTGCCCTCCAGATATTTTGGGTGGCTGTGCTGGCTGGGGTTCAAGAGGGATGTAGACCAAAAAAGAGGCATGTAGACCAAGTTCATAGCCAGAGAGGGGTCAACAAAAGGCAAGTGGAAGCAGCACCCACCTCTGTACAACTTGCCAGCCTAAAAGTTTAAAAAGCTGAAGTTTAAAATGGGTTCTTTTGCTTTTGTTTCAACAAGATTAGAGTTCAGGAGCATCTTATGTGGCACTAGAGTCCTGAGCCCAGTCTTTTTCCAGCCCACTGACACAGCTCTCTTCTGTTCCTTCACCTTAATTCTCATCACGTAATACTATTATTCTGCTGACTGCAGGAAAATGAATTAATGAATCCGGGAATAATGTTTCATGTTGTCACACAAGTACAGCAATTATCTGAAAAGAAGCAGTTCTATTGAAACAATTTCCTTATTTTTCTCTCTCAACGAATGAAAACAGCCTCCACTCACAACTACTGCACACAGGCCTCTAATCATTCTGAAAGAAGAAATAAGGCTGCCAGTGTTGTACTGCCTCTAAGTTCAACAGACTCCAGAAATTACGAACCTTGTCATCATTAGCATGAACTCCAAGCCTTTAATCAAACAGACCTCCTTTGCCCTAACAAGTTCTCATTTCCAGCACTAGGGCTTTTTAATGATACATTGGCCCTTAAAAACAAAAGGCCCTTGCAATACAATAACAAACATTTAATCTGGTTAATGAAATAGTTTAGGAAGGACCATTTCTGTGCTGTGGTAATGGGATAACCTGTGCTGGGAGCTGAAGTCCAGGCAAACCCCTCCTCTCTTACTTTGGGGGCTTATCTCTGCCGGGAGAGATGAGAGCCACCCACTGCATTGCTTAAATCAATAAAAAATTCTCATTTAATTTTTAAACAATTTGCAGCATTGAAGAGCTCAATTCTAAACAGTTTCTTTCTGCAGTTTCAATATATTTATTTCATGAAATTTACTTACAGCTTAATTGTAAAAAAATAAAAACACCTCAAAGACGTTTACATGTGTTTTTATTATTTTATAATGTAGTCTTAAAGTATTGGTTTTGGGGTTTTTTATACAGTGGTACCTCGGGTTAAGTACTTAATTCGTTCCAGAGGTCCGTTCTTAACCTGAAACTGTTCTTAACCTGAAGAACCGCTTTAGCTAATGGCCTCCTGCTGCTGCCGCGCGATTTCTGCTCTCACCCTGAAGCAAAGTTCTTAACCCGAGGTACTATTTCTGGGTTAGCGGAGTCTGTAACCTGAAGCGTATGTAACCTGAAGTGTATGTAACCCGAGGTACCACTGTACTATTTGTACACCACTTGAAGTGTTTATGTTTTTAAGGAACACCTTAAGGTAAAGGTAAAGGTACCCCTGCCCATACAGGCCAGTTGTGTCCGACTCTAGGGTTGCGCGCTCATCTCGCTCAAGAGGCCGGGAGCCGGCGCCGTCCAAAGACCCTTCCAGGTCACGTGGCCAGCGTGACGAAGCTGCAACTGGCGAACCAGCACCAGCGCCGCACACGGAAACGCCGCTTACCTTCCCGCTATAAAGTGGTACCTATTTATCTACTTGCACTTAGGGGTGCTTTCGAACTGCTAGGTAGGCAGGAGCTGGGACCGAATGACGGGAGCTCACCCCGCCGCGGGGATTCGAACCGCCGACCTTACGATCAGCAAGTCCTAGGCACTGAGGTTTTACCCACAGCGCCACCCGCGTCCCTAAGGAACACCTTAATAAGTAAATAAATAAAGGGAGCTTTTCCTGCTGCCATTGGAAGAATTATTTTGGTTTAGTAAGACAAGTGCTTTGTCTATTGCTATTCTAGACTTACTGCTTGCCCTCTTTCGTACTTTGCATGTGTGAAACAACACGCTGCATTCTTTCAAATACCATTATTTCCCTCTGGGAACGGAAGGCTGTGAAATTACGTCAGCGCAATTTCGGGAAGAGCACACACTCACCTTCCACGGCTTCTCTGGAATTGGAGGGTCTTCGATTTCGGCATCTATATCAGTAGCATGAACCCAAGTGTCATAGCTATAAAGGAAATTCAAAAGCAACAATGTGACCTCATCCCTCAGGTAGTTTCATTATGGTAGCACTGCCATAATGAAAGCATCCAGTGATTTTGCATCACACTCATTGTAAAAGAAAGAAAGAAAGCCTTTTAAAAGACATGGTATACTGAAGCTGGGAAAATGTGTTGAAATAAGTGTAATGAAATAGCAGATCTGGTGGGAAAACATATCTTTGGGCAAGGCAGTAGACACAGGAGTTGATCAAAAGGAGCCCTCAGCTACCATTTCAATGGAACAGCTGCTCAACACCTTAAAGAGCCCAGCATTTATTTATTTCTACAAGAATTATGCCACTTAATATAATCTAATCCGATTAAAAGAAAAACAGCACAACACAATTCAACATTTCCTAAAAACTATTGATAAAAACATGATAAAAACAAAGCAATTGCAAGGCTAAGGCTGCAACAGTTGACCAAAAACAACATAATGTGTGTTTATGAAAGGATGTGGACAGTGTAACAGATGGCAGTTTCCAGCCAGTTACGAGGAAGGAATATATTATGGATTTTTGGTGTGGGTTACGTGTTTCTCAAGATCACCGTATCTTCTTCTCTCAGCAGAAGATGGTGCAGACATAATGTCAAAACATCACATGTGGTTTGTTGTACTGCCTGAACCAACAATCACGGGGGACAAAACTATGGCTTGCAAACAGCCATCAAAACAGGATCTGAACCACAGTCTGAAGACAGCCTGCATAGGATGGTTTAGGAAAATGGCAGTTTGTTATGACTGCACTGAGGGGCTGCTGTTTGGGAGAGCATCTGTGAATTATCAAGGGAGGCAAGGGGAAAGGAAACCACACAAACTGGAGTTTGCTGGTCTATTTGGAAGGGAAAATATGGTTTGGGGTCTACCCTACGGTTAGGGAAAGCCATGGTTTGGTGTTACTTCTGAACCAATCCTATATTATCAAGGTGAGGATATTTCATGTATCTAATGATGGATTGTCTTTTATAGGGGTCACAGCAGCAGTGCTCTTGGACAAACATCCGTGCAGGCAGCCACCTTGGATTTCAAATGGTAGGGACAGAATGTATCCCTCCCACCCGATAAGAAAGGGGCAATATTTTTTGAAAAATGGGTGCCGGCACTTCAACCCTTGTCATTACCTGTCTGGGTAATAGCCCCAATGCACAAGAACTTGCTTGTCTTTCTTCATTACAGGTCTTAGCCACTCTTCTGCAAAAGGGAAAAAATAAAATGCCATCAGGGTCAGAAAGTGATCCAGCTTTAACACCATTCTAGTTTCACAAGCTTGAAAACATTCAGTTTTGTCATCCCAAAAGGAAGAGTTCACAAGAGGCTGGGTTGGAGATTCGTTTTCTTAATGGAATGTCCATCTACAAAGGGCTCACAACTAAGAAGCAAAGATTGGCTCAGTTCTCAGTATCTGGGTAAGAGCTTTGTCAGCGTGGAGTAAGGAGAAAAGCAGTAGTACAGAACAGAATAGGAGGGACATTTAGTGATTACAGCGGAATCTCCGGTTACGAACTTGATTCGTTACAGAGGTCCGTTCTTATCCTGAAACTGTTCTTAACATGAGGCGCCATTATCAAAAGGAGTCTCCCGCTGTGCGCGTGCGCACCGCCCACCCGCATCCCGGAGCAAAGTTCGCATCCCGGAGCAACTACTTCCGGGTTAGCGCAGCTCATAACCCGACGTGTGCGCAACCAGAAGCGTTCGTATCCAGAGGTACCACTGTATTTTTATTTCCAACATTTATACACTGCCAAACAGCAGTGTTTGCCTGTAAACAATAAAGTGTAAAACAGGAACAGATGATGGCATCCATATAGCAAAGTTCACACCAAAAATTTCCCACTTATTCAAACTCCAAACACATATAAAAGGAAATCACTAAAAGATAAAAATGCCCTAACACAGGTGCCAGGCAAGTCTCTCTGGGCAGGGCATTCCATAACCAGGGTGCCATCCCTGAAAAGGTCTTCTCTAGTTGCACCCACTGCATCACATTTGGCAGGGGCATCCAAAGAGGGCCTTAGAGGCTTCTGGTTCTGGTCTGCCTTAATGGAGGCAGCTCCCACAACAGTGGGAGAGCATAGGCCATGGAAAAACAAGAACAGAGGGTAAATCATTCCTGGAAATTTCCCCCAGGGATGCGGGGGAATGGGCTTCACATGGAATGCAGGGGTCAGTGAGGCACTGAGTACAAAAGCACCTGGCCTGGAGAAAACCCTCCAACGCCGCCATTAAGAAGCAGAGGTTCTCCTGTTAATTAGAGTGTAATTGGACTAAAGTACAGGTGCGTGCTAGGAGAGATAAGATCACAAACTGCAGAACAAAACCATCTGCAAGGACTTTAAGGTTTGAACTTGAGATAAGACTTTATTTGGTGCAAAAGACGGTTGGGGGGAGGGGAAACTATGATTTCTTTATTTAAAGTTTTCTTCTCTACATTTAAGATTCGGCAACCCTCCTCTGAATGTTAGTTCAGATTACCGTATTTTTCCCTCTATAACACGCAGATTTTTTCTCCTAAAAAGGAAGGGGAAATATCTGTGCGTGTTATGGAGCGAATGTGTGGTCCCTGGAGCCAAAAAATCAGACAAAAATCAAATCGCGAGTCACGGAGAAGGGAAACCTGAAAAGAGGAAGTGGCTGCTTTCCTGCATTCTGCCTCAGGGTCTTACTGCCCACCCTCCTCTGTTTCGTTGCTGTGTTTGCTCAAACGGAACAAAGAGCAGGGAAAGCCCCTCCTCTCCAGGCAAGAAGAGGGGAAAGCAGAGTCGTTCCTTCTAATTCCTCTCTGTGCTCCGGTGCTGTGTCTAGGGACTAGCAGGCAACATGCAGGTGGGGGGGGGGAGAGAGAGAGAGAGCTGGCTGGTTTGGGTGCTTGGGTGGGGGGAAACTTTTGCCTTTCTTTCCTCCCTCCCGTTAAATCCCTCTCCTGCATTCTTAGCCAGCTGCTTCTCTGCACACCCCTCTCATGCTCCTTTTCCCTTCTTTGTTTTTCCTTCCCTCCCCACTTAAAATGTGGTTACAAAGCATAGATCCACATGGATCCTCAGGATCTTTGCATTGGGTCACCCCAAATTCACCATCAGATCACATAGCATGTCCATGGCTACAGCCTGCCCCCCAAAAATCACGCACCCACTGTTGCCTGGGGCTGCAATGGTGCAAAAACGTGGTTAAAAAGCATGGATCCACATGGATCCTCAGAATCTTTGCATTGGGTCACCCCAAATTCACCATCAGATCACATAGCATGTCCATGGCTACAGCCTGCCCCCCAAAAATCACACACCCACTGTTGCCTGGGGCTGCAATGGTGTAAAAACGTGGTTAAAAAGCATGGATCCACATGGATCCTCAGGATCTTTGCATTGGGTCACCCCAAATTCAGCATCAGATCACATAGCATGTCCATGGCTACAGCCTGCCCCCCAAAAATCACACACCCACTGTTGCCTGGGGCTGCAATGGTGCAAAAACGTGGTTACAAAGCATAGATCCACATGGATCCTCAGGATCTTTGCATTGGGTCACCCCAAATTCACCATCAGATCACATAGCATGTCCATGGCTAGAGCCTGCCCCCAAAAAATCACGCACCCACTGTTGCCTGGGGCTGCAATGGTGCAAAAACGTGGTTACAAAGCATAGATCCACATGGATCCTCAGGATCTTTGCATTGGGTCACCCCAAATTCACCATCAGATCACATGTCTGCGGCCACAGCATGAAGCACAAAAATGATACATCCACTGTTTCATTCAGAATGTTTTTTCCCTTGTTTTCCTCCTCTAAAAATGATGTGCGTGTTATGGTCAGGTGCGTGTTATAGAGCGAAAAATACGGTATATTTGTACAAGCAAGGATGGAAGAAATTGGATTATAAATATGGAATATAACATCCAATGGAACTGTGTGTGTAAAAAGAAAGAAAAAGGGAAGCAAACGATTTTGAAAAAGGTTTAAGATGGAAACTTAGAGCTGGCTCTTCCCCATCCTTTTTTATCTATGAAGTAAACTGAACAACGTTAAGAGGAATTAAATTTGGTAACACCTCAGTTCCCGCTGTATAGGATAGCTGGCTGGGACTGATGGGAGTTGTAGTTCAAAACACCCGGAGGGCACTGGGTTGGCAAAGGCCACTTTATTCTTATTACAACCCTGTGCACAATTGGAGCAAAGTCTTTGGTCCTCAAAAGGTCCCTGTAGATTTCATTACTCCAGTGAAACTATTAAATCTGAGCCCTATCTATTTACCATTAAAATTTCTAGAAGTTGGAGACTGTATACATGTTGCTTTTGCAGTGACGAGGGTTGCTACTAATGGTGCATCTCAACACTTCATCCCCACTCCTTCGTCTAGAAAACCTACTCAGCAAGTTACTAACTAGCTTTTAATTGCACTTGAGAAACGTTTTATTCTGGTTGTTTACGGAGTTTTCACAATGTTAGCCGATGTGAGGTTCTTGAAGGGACATAAAATGTAAATAAATAAATTTGCTCCATCATTTCAAGGTCACGGGAGTTTAACATTAGTAAATGAGACCCTGTGGATATGGAGTACAGTGGTACCTCGGGTTAAGTACTTAATTCGTTCCGGAGGTCCGTACTTAACCTGAAACTGTTCTTAACCTGAAGCACCACTTTAGCTAATGGGGCCTCCGCCTGCTGCCACGCCACTGGAGCACGATTTCTGTTCTCATCCTGAAGCAAAGTTCTTAACCTGAAGCACTATTTCTGGGTTAGCGGAGTCTGTAACCTGAAGCGTATGTAACCTGAAGCGTATGTAACCCGAGGTACCACTGTATTGTTCCTCTGTGCAGCTTTGTATTTGGCAGATTGTCTTGAGTATAGCATTTAAATGTCGCGACTCAGTGATAATCACACATTTCGCGGACAATTCTTAAACCTGCCTTTAACCATAATATGTCAGCATCTTGTAGCTCAAACCTATTTCATGCAAATGGAGGAAACTGAACGTGCACAGCTTTACTTGGCCAATGCTATTGTGACGACAATCTTGCAACCAATGCGTGGCAGAGGAGGGGATGCTGTGGGGAAGCAGAGATGCTGAGGAGCAGGCTGGCTGGGGGCTGACAGGTCATGGAGAGTTCAGAGAGAGGAGAGGAAAGACAGTCGCTGCATGCAGCCAGCTTCCAAAAGTGTAACACAATTCTTGGCATAATTCCTCCCTCTCTTGTTCCCTCCCGCCCCCCCCACCCCGGACTTTCTCAGGCCGAGAACCAGGGCAAAAGCAGCATTCGCACACAGAGCAGCTTCTGCTCCCCACATCTGCTCCCTTCATTATGACCTCTGCACATCCTGCCAAACACTATTCCTACTCTCCCCCTTTTTCTTTCTTTTTTGTAATCTGCACTCAGCCCAGCTCAAAAGGATCGTGCTTTCTTCCAGATAAAGGAAGCGGAGCACAGCTTTCAAGTGATACTTCATTCCCAGAAAGAGGAAACGCTATTTTTGAAGTGAGAAATCCTATCCTCCCCTGAGGGCGGAGCGGGCTGACACGGCAGAATTTCAAGGCCGAGCAGATCTCACAGGAGTCTAGACCGCTGCCGGAGTGTGCTTGTCATTGGAGAGACGGGAGGCTGCTGCACCAGCAGAGAAGCTCCTCTGCTAAAAGACTTAGAAAAATGTAAGCTCTTTTACAAACACCGCACGGTAGCACAGATTTGGCATGCAAATCTATTCTGCTCCCTCCCAAAAGAAGTTGGATGCCACCAACTTGAATGGCTTCAACAGAGGGTTAGATCAATTCATGTGGACAGACCAATCCATGTGGAGCGACTCTGTCAATGGCTACTAGCCAGAATGAAGATGTTCCCCCAACACTGTCAGAGGCAGTGCTCCTCTGAATACCAGCTTTTGGGAAGTGCAAGTGGAAAGAGGGCTGTTGAGCTCCGGCCCTGCATTTCTTGTTTCCCAGAACAGGCACCTAGTTGGCCACTGTGAGAACAGGATACTGGAGTGGGGCTACTGGCCTGATCCAGTAGATTATTCTTACATTCTTCACTCATTTTAAGAAAGTGTCAGAAAGGTGGTGTCAGACGCATGACTCTCCTTCGCCAGTGTTCAATTGGATTGTTTTCGTTTTAGAGCCAAAACTCTAGTTCATGGGTAGGCAAACTAAGGCCCCCGCGGGGGCCGGATCCAGCCCAATCGTCTTCTAAATCTGGCCCGTGGATGGTCTGGGAATCAGCATGTTTTTACATGAGTAGAATGTGTCCTTTTATTTAAAATGTACCTCTGGGTTATTTGTGGGGCATAGGAATTCATTCATCCCCCCCCCCCAAAATATAGTCCGCCCCCAAGTTTGCTGACCCCTGCTCTAGTTGGTTAGCGATTCTTGCCTCCCTGTTTTTATTCTGGCTTGTTTTTATAATTTATATAATTTATAATTATTGTATACTGTTATTATAAGTATTGTATTTTTAGCCACTGCTGGTCTATGACTGTAATAAACTGATTGATTGATTAAGGATTGGGGCAGCTCAATTGGTGGAGCATGAGACTCTTAAATCTCAGGGTCTTGGGTTTGAGCTCCACGTGGGGCAAAAGATTCCTGCATTGCAGGGGTTTGGACTAGATGACCCTTGCGATCCCTTCCAACTCTACAATTCTATTATTTTAAGAAGAGGGTCGCCCCCCCCCAAAAAAAAAGATGACTAGGAAAAAAAAATGTTGACAGCAATGGGAAAAAATACATCAATACAGAGAACACTGCCCAGATCAACCAAGCATATCCAAAAGCTGGGTCTAGGAGAAGAGCAAGTTTCCCTTTTCCACGCTGAGTGGGATGAAGAGAGAAAAGAACCTCTTCCCTTCCAATGCAAATACGTTCAGTCAAAAATACTCAAGTGACCCACATAAGGACAACAGTGTAAACAAGCAGGCACGTGTTCATACATGCTTTTTTCACGATGCCATTACAGCAGCTCTGCTTTGCGCTTATGCAGAAGGAAAAGATGGGTGGACCAGAACAAAAGGCTACTAAGCACAAGAGGCTGCTTTAGGGTAGCACCTGAATTTTACTCAATTTTTTCCAACAGCTAAATAAAAATGACTCGCTGCTCCCTTTAAACAATCTCAGATTCAATACAACGCAGCAGAAAACACATCACAATGAATTAAGCACACAGGAAGATTCAACAGACACCACTAGAATGCAAAACACACACAGAACGGATGATGAAGCCACTGTGTGCTCAAAGCTCCACACAGATGAATGCTGCCATCTAGTGTTGCTCCGAAACAGACTGGGATCAGTGGAGTGGTGGTGCTTAGAATAACCCCATTGTCATAGAATTATAAGAGTTGGAAGGGGCCCTGAGGATCATCTAAGTCCAACCCCCTACTGTGCAGAAATATCCAGCTGTCCAATCCAGGGATCCAACCTGCAACCTTGGTGACATTAGCACCACACTCTAACCAACTGAGCTATCCATGGATAGACTATGGACAGACATGGTGCTCTCCACTGGTGCTTCTGATGTCTGGGAATTGCAGACATGGCTTACTCTTAATGGACTTGTTTTAGATACCTTACCATTCATGGTTTGCTCAAACAAGCAAACAAACAAACAAACAAACCACAATCTGAGTTTGTACAACACAACCCGCAATGCTGTTGTGTTTGTGCCACATTTGCAAGGCAGCAATTGGATGTTCAGAAGCAAGCTGTGGTTCAAAATGAAATGGAGGCTTAGCATGACATGCAAACCAGCTCACAATATGCATGGCTCAGAACATCTAATGGGGTTTCTCATACTAATTATTAGTTTGAAAGGTGCTGCTCTGTGAATAGATACTTAAATGATTCCACCCCCTTCTCCCTTATGGCCTTTTCTTCCTGACACCTCCTCTCAGATCGGTAAAGGTAAAGGGACCCTTGACCGTTAGGTCCAGTCGCGGACAACTCTGGGGTTGCAGCGCTCATCTCGCTTTATTGGCCGAGGGAGCCGGCGTACAGCTTCCGGGTCATGCGGCCAGCAGGACTAAGCCGCTTCTGGCGAACCAGAGCAGTGCACGGAAATGCCATTTACCTTCCCGCCAGAGCGGTACCTATTTATCTACTTGCACCTTGACGTGCTTTCGAACTGCTAGGTTGGCAGGAGCTGGAACCAAGCAACAGGAGCTCACCCCGTCGCGGGGATTCGAACCTCCGACTTTCTGATCGGCAAGTCCTAAGCTCTGTAGTTTAACCCACAGTGCCACCCGTGTCCCTCTCAGATCAGTAATGTACACCAAACTCCTGGAAAACCCATCTTTACTGTGAGACCTCACACCTTACTTCTCATCCTAAATTGAAACTAAGCCTAAGTACATCTAAGCAGATTTGCTTAGATTCATTCTGCTTACCTTTGACATTTCTCTACACCAAGATAATCTCCTCTACTGTCAAAATTAAAATACCCTACCCTGTGTGGGGCAGGGTATTGTATTATCCACTTGTATTCATTTGTTTTGTGGGCACTGACAGCATAAATGAAGTTATATACAAACCTCAGTACCCTGAAACCTATTAAGATATTTCTCTGTGATATCCCAGGTAATGCTCAAAAACTATTTCCCCCATTCCAAGGTCTGTACACTGAATGAAAAAAGCTATGTTGATCAAACTATCCATTAGATTTCAGACACATCTCATTCCACTCTTTATGATGCATAAATAATTGATGCTTTCCACTCTCCAGAACACCTCCTTAGTATTTTTTTCCGAAATCTACTTTTTTTAAATCACAAAACTGATGGGATTGATACAAAATATTTCATTTACTTTGAATACTTCTATATCAGCTTTTGGTCCAAAGACCCTTGAGGTGAGTAGTAAGAAATGAATGAATGAATGAATTTTACCTTCATCCAATGAGGTAGGAACAGGATAAATATGGTGGGTGGCTTTAGACTTCTCATCTGTGACTGTGCCCTGGGAAAGAACAGAAACAGGTATTGCATCAGAAATATGTTAAGGAATAAATGCATAAAGAATCACCTTCCTTTCCCAGCAACATGCCATATTTGGAGCCTGGATACAACATGACACTAGATGGCATTGGAGTAGTGATCTATAGGCCCCATTTCCTCAACTGGACTCTGGGCATAGTAAGAGCACACCCATTTGGGTTTCTTACTAAGGAAAACCCCGGAAAATTCCAGCCATTAGTGCAAGTGAAGTAGTCTAAACTGCTTCCTCTTTCTTTTGAGAAACAGGGGGGTCAGCTATTAATTCAAATAAACTACGAGCATCACCCAGCACTGATCCCACCGTGAATCTGCACATTAGATTTCTTATACACTAGTTTATACATAAATTGTTTTGTAAGCATCATCATTTGCAATTCAGATTTCCTACCCCTTTTAAATGCAGATTTGTTTTAGAAGGTATAGGCAAATGTTTTCATTACTTGTGGGGGTTTTTTTCTAAGTTGCTATCCCCTCCAGCTAACAAAGGAAACAAAAGACTCCTGTCTGGTGGGTTCTTTTTCAGCGGGCTTTTATAAATATTGTATCGTCATCAATATATAATAAACCAACTGCATTCTATTAGTATCCTTTAAATCAACTTGACCTGACGTTGTTTTGAGCGATGTGGAAACCTTGTGTCTTGCATGTTGTTCTTTCTATACTTAATCAATAAACTGTTTCTTATATTTAATAAAATTTAAGAGCATATTTTCTACCTCTGCCAGGGCCCATTTTAGTGAATGCCATAATTTTAGATTAAGTGGACATGCTGCCACCTGCCCTTAGTGTTAAGACAACTTAACATTAATACGCTGTAATCCACTGCTGATTTCACAAGCTACATAAACACTAAGCTGCTTTTAGCGAGAAGCACAATACACTTAAGTCTATTCTTAGAGACCATTTTGGCTGTGAGTCCTAGAAGACCTGCTCCCTGCCTTGCAGGCCTTTTCCCACCTAGCTTGTGAGGGCGGGACTCTGACTGACCCCAGCTACACAAGCTGAGGCTGCTGAACAGACTCTTGGTCTAGTGTACTGTGTAAAGATTTTGGGGGAAGAGGGATGCTGCTGCTGCTGTTATGCATTTTTATTTTAGATCTTAATGGTTTTTGTGGGAATTGTTCAGCTTGGGTGTGTATTTTTTAATGTTCCATTTATTGTTTAGGATGCTTGATGATTGTCTTCCAAAGCAACTACTCTATTCCCAACTTAAAAATGGAAAGTGAAATGCTGGTGATCAACAAAAGAGGTTTAAAGACGCTCTCAAGGCAAATCTAAAAACTGGGAAACACTGGCCTGCAAGCATTCCAGTTGGAGAACAGCCTTTACCAAAGGTGTCATGGGCTTTGAAAACACTCAAACTCAGGACTAAAGGGAGAAACGTGCCAAGAGGAAGGCACGCTTGGCAAATCCACACCGGGCTCAACTCCTGCCCAGAAACCAATGTGCCCCACTGTGGAAGGATGTGTGGATCCAGAATTGGCCTCCACAGTCACTTACGGACTCATTGTTAAAACCGTGTTTATGGAAGACAATCTTACTCGGCTACGAGTGATCGCCAAAGGAAGATTGTTTAGGACGTCTTCTGTTACATTGCAATTACATGTTTTTTCATGTTGTAAGCAGCCTTGAGGATGGTCTGAACTGTGGAAGGGTGACTTACAAATGAAATTACATATGTATGTACCTTTGTATTCTCAGCTTTGCCTTCAACTATTTGGGTGAGAAGTTAATCTCCAATAGGAAAACTGAAGAATGCTCGCATGTTCCCCTCATTTCCTTTTGGAGTGGGGGAGAAGAGGGAGGAAAGAGTCTCTTCCAATTCACACAGCTAATAGAAGTACATCCACTCCCTGGCGTCATTGAGTCAAGGATTGAATCTTGCCATTATGACAAAAAGCTGACCAGTGCTTGTTCCAGGTTTATGAGGCCAGTGGATAAATATCCCCAGGAGCCCCTTTTCAGCTGTGGAGAAGAGCAGAGGCAGCAGTTGAAGTTCTTCCCTAGCTGTTCTCTCAGAGAGGAAGGGCTTAGGAGGAAAGCAGCTCCCACTCTGCAGTCCAGAGCAATGTGGACCCCAGGTTGGAAGGTAGCAAATAATGAAGATATTACTAATAGGCACCTCATACCAAGATTGTAGCCTTACAATCTGACATAATGTTGCACCTGTGAACACGCCTATGATGTCAAAGAGGTTTTCACACGGATAAGATACATGTAAAATGGAAATATTACAGTTATTTTGAAGGTGAGCAGGAAATACATTTTAGTCACTTGACTCAAGTCTACATCACAAGCTGAAGCAAATCACCATCTCCTCCAGAAAGTTCTATTAGCTAGAGCAGACATGGGGAATCTGTGGCCCTGCAAATGTTGCTGAACTACAACTCCCATAATCCTTGGCCATTGGTCATGCTGTCTGGGGTTGATGGGTGTTGGAAGTCCACCAACATCTGGAGGGCCAGTAGTTCTCCAGCCCGGAAATAAGAGTCTGAAATAATTATGACCCTATGTGCTGAGTCCCTTTGCAATTATGCTAAACAGATCAACATTTGACATGCTAAATGTATGATGTGCCTGATACCTGGTGACGTTTGACAATGTCCTTTAGCTTATTAGCTAACTTCAGTTCAATTTCTGGTACGAGGTAGATGGTTGGTCTGCTCAGACAGTTATTCTGGAAGAGAAAATAAAGGAAAGATCATTTTATTAAAAACAAAAACCAGTAATAAAGAGATTACCGGCACAACTATGGTAATCCATTACACACAACCTGGAAACGGCGGGAGAGAGCTGGAGAGTCTTGCAAGGGGACCATCCCTGGAGCTCAAAGAGGACATCTGTGAGGGCAGAGGAAGCCCCAAAGAGGTGCAGCCGGGCTTTGTTTAGGCTGCTCAGCCTCTGTGCCTAACAGCTGGTGAGAGTGGTAGCAGCAGTAGCTGCTTTCCTGCACATCCTCCAGCTGACTCCAGAGCTTCCATTCTAGTTGTGAATATTTTTGTATACGGTATTCTTTGTCTAGGGATGCGGGTGGCGCTGTGGGTTAAACCACAGAGCCTAGGACTTGCCGATCAGAAGGTCGGCGGTTCGAATCCCCGCAACGGGGTGAGCTCCCGTTGCTCAGTCCCTGCTCCTGCCAACCTAGCAGTTCGAAAGCAAGTCAAAGTGCAAGTAGATAAATAGGAACCGCTCCGGCGGGAAGGTAAACAGTGTTTCCGTGCGCTGCTCTAGTTTGCCAGAAGCGGCTTAGTCATGCTGGCCACATGACCCGGAAGCTGTATGCCGGCTCCCTCGGCCAATAAAACGAGATGAGCGCCGCAACCCCAGAGTCGGCCACGACTGGACCTAATGGTCAGGGGTCCCTTTACCTTTATCTATTCTTTGTCTGGATTGGAGACAGTGTGGCAGAGAGGGCGTTTAAAGGATGCTCCCCACTTATGCGCACGGGTTCTGGAATATAATCTCTGTCTAAGTTTGTTGTGGGGACATGCACTATTTGAATAAATACTTCCTGTTTGTATGCTCTGAATCTCTGCCCAGCTTCACTGGAGAACCTCATTTGGTTCCAGTATCACGAGGAGGAGAAAAATTTCTCCATCTACTTTCCCCACACTGTGCTAGTATTTCGGCTGTGGCTCAGTGGAGAGAGACACTATAAGCAGCCAAGAGTTCAACTGAGAAACCAAAAGAATCAAGGATCAAGAGCATTAACATGCACCAGGGCTAGTTTATTCCACACTAGGGCTCAGTCCATCACAATTAATATCTCATTATTGCCACAACCAGGAAAGCAACAGTATCTGCCGTGTTTGTTTAGAATTAAATGTATATTTAATGTCAAAATTTATGATAATAGCAAGCTTCCAGAAACAATACAACCTGTTCAACATGTAGGGTGTTTGGGATTTCCTATGTCTGCAGCAGCAGCAGCCTCCTGTATCATGTGTCAAACCATGTATGAAACTGAGGGACCTTTCAAAGCAGTCTCTCATAAGGGATGGGGATCTGCTGTGCCAAGTAAACAACCCACTAGATGTGCTTTATCATGAGGGAATCCAGAGTGGCTGGGGCAACTCAGTCAGATGGGCGGAATATAAATAATAATAAAATAATCATAATAATAATTGTTGTTGTTGATGATCTCTATGGATCCCAGCCAGTATCTTTTATAAGGATAATTTCTGCTGGTAGAAATGGAAGTTTTCACATTGCAGAAGCTCTGTCAAGGTGAACTCGAAGACAGCTAAATCTCAGGTATACACGCAAAGTGGTGAATTGAACAGAATACTGCTCTCAGTTCTTAAGCTAAGTTTGCGCTGGTGGCATCCCAGCACATGAATGATCTTCAGAGCCCAGCAGGTTTGCTTGCTGGTGAAGTATCAACAGCCGAAGAGAAAGTGAGCTATAGGATCACCATTTCTGGTTTTCTTTGTCCATGCCTCCTTTGCAGTACAGTTTGAAATGTAACTTATTATTCTGAGGTTCATTCGTGTAAGGTTTTATTATAACCAAGCAGTATATAAACTGTTTACTAAATTAAGAACTGAATTTTGCAAGCATAACTGAGTGCGCTAGCATGGGCACCTAGACCTGGCACTTCTGCCATATGGCTCCAGGAAAATCATGCTTGCTCTGCTGCAGTATCCCAAACATGACTGATCTGCCTCGCAGGGTTATTGTGAAGGTAGGCAAGACTGAAGAACTTAGTGCCAATTAATTGTTCTATAAGTGATAATCCTGCTTTAGAAATTAAAATAATTCTTAACTACATACACATTTATCCCCTTATCCTCCTGCTAATCTATATTTTTAATGGGACAATATGCCAGCAAGCTACGATGCAATTTTTACATATGTTCACAGGTGGGCCTGTGACCACATTCACAGCAAGCCTTAAAGCTGAAAATAAATTTCCACACAGAAGACCATAAATTAATCATTATTATTAACAGAATTCTTGCCTGCACCAATGTTTTTTCAATATTCATAAACATTTCGACGTTTCGATCCATTCGGGAAGGGTTCTGCAAATCAAATCGGCGCCTGCAACAAAAAATATTTATGCAGTACTTAGAATAGCAAAAGTTTGGGATAATTCAAGACAGCATTGCATAGAATTAGGGCTATACAGCATCTGATAATTATAGTAAAGAGTCTTTGATGGTCTTGTGCATGTGATAAGGCAACACCTTTTTCCATCAATTCCATCAGAAGTTCTGTCCATGCATAGAGAAACATTTCCTAGGGAGCCTTTAGACTTAGGGCACTCCAAGGAACCCCAACTTAATGGGGTGGAGTGAGAGAAAGGAAGATGAGGCCAGACAAAGGCAGTGAGAACAACCACAATTATCTAGGATTTCGAGGAAGGGAGACACCCCAGAAAAATGCTATGCATGAAAAGGAAAATAAGCAGCCCTATAATGGAGTTCATTATCCTCACCACAAACCCTACGTGCAACAGGAGAAGCATGTATGCATACAAGTGTATGGACTAAACTGTTTCCTTTCCTCCTCTTCTCTTCTCCAAGCCTTGAAAATATCAAGAGTTGCATCGCGGGCTCAATCCAAAAACTAATCCAGTGTTTTGTTTAAGGATAGTAGCCAGCTAGATTATTTTCAAAGTTACAGAGAAGAATGAGATCTGATGCTCTTGCCCTGTTTGCTCCCGGCATCTGTTTGTTCCTTTATCCTCACTCATCATGAAGTGAATGCCAGAATCTGAAGCACTAACAAGGTCTGAAAGGAAATTTGAGCGGTCAAAGGAAAAACAAGCGACTTTTTAAAAAATGCTATGCATTTTTTTATGCGGGTGGCGCTGTGGGTAAAAGCCTCAGTGCCTAGGGCTTGCCGATTGAAAGGTCGGCAGTTCGAATCCCCGCGGCGGGGTGCGCTCCCGTTGTTTGGTCCCAGCGCCTGCCAACCTAGCAGTTCGAAAGCACCTCCGGGTGCAAGTAGATAAATAGGGACCGCTTACTAGCGGGAAGGTAAGCGGCGTTTCCGTGTGCGGCTCTGGCTCGCCATAGCAGCGATGTCACGCTGGCCACGTGACCCGGAAGTGTCTCCGGACAGCGCTGGCCCCCGGCCTCTTGAGTGAGATGGGCGCACAACCCTAGAGTCTGTCAAGACTGGCCCGTACAGGCAGGGGTACCTTTACCTTTTACCTTTATGCCACTCTGCTTCAGAAGTTCTCTAATGGCACGTAAAATCACCAGATAGGATCCACAGATAAGCATGAAGCTAGACAGAGGAAGCAAACTTTCCTCTGCCTCCGGAAGTTGCTACAACATGATTCACACACACCCTGCCCCCTGGACATGCCAGACCACCTGATCCCACAGAATCTATAGAACCTCTGTGTGTGTGTGTGTGTGTGTGTGTTAGGCCTCGGTCCAGTATACCTGAAGGAGCGTCTTCACTCCCATCGTTCTGCCCGGACGCTGAGGTCCAGTGCCGAGGTTCTTCTGGCGGTTCCCTCATTGCGAGAAGCAAAGCTACAGGGAACCGGGCAGAGGGCCTTCTCGGTAGTGGCACCCACCCTGTGGAACGCCCTCCCACCAGATGTTGAAGAGAAGAACAACTACCAGACTTCTAGAAGACAGCCCTGTTCAGGGAAGCTTTTAATGTTTAATAGGTTATTGTATTTTAGTGTTTTGTTGGAAGCCGCCCAGAGTGGCTGGGGAAACCCAGCCAGATGGGTGGGGTATAAATTATTATTATTATTATTATTATTATTATTAGAAAGTCAACTTTGCCATGCTTATCTATGGATCCAACCCCCTATATTACAAAATAACATCATACAGGAAAGAATAAAAAGAGTACTTTTCCAATGAAAAACCTGATTTAACTACAAGTTCTTTGAAATACAATCATTTTCATCTGTCTACCTAAAACTAATGCAGGCAGTGCCACATGCTCATACTCTTGAGCAGGACTTGGGAATTCTGTGGAAAAGATGAAAAGAAAAAGACTCACCATCCTTGCTCATTTTTGTACTTATATGCAGCACCAAGAATGTGACATAGTGTTCCTCCAGCTTTGAAGTCCATGAAGCACTTTGCCTAAAACAGAGAAAATATCAAGGTGACATTCCTACTCACAGTAACAAAAGCAGAAGCAAGCAGTGAAGCAGCGGAATATTAAACAGTACAAGCCTCCCAAGGAACCAGTTGGGGGGGAAAAATCACATTATTTGAGCAAAGTATTGGCAGGCTGAAACTCAAAGTACACACACCTCACTGGTCTCCTGTTATCTCCCACCCACCCCCACAATGTTAGAGATTTCAAGTTACATTTGGGTCCTGCATACTGTCCTTAAAATCTAAAATATTAAACAGTACACTGCTTGAAAATCTGCAGCATTGCAAATCTGTAGTGTAAAAATTGACAGGCCATGTGTTGCACAGAAACAACTCCCAGAGTGTGTGTGAACAGTTATCCCTACCCTCCTAATTAATCGGTGCAACCAAGTAGGAGCAAATGATATGAACCCAAACAAAGTCAGGGTCCTAGAGAATTACTCAGCACCAAACCAGGACCCCTTGAGGTCTAGTTCAGTCCTCTGTGTGTGACTATCCTAGCTATCCCTCTTGTCAGGGGTGTAGGGAAATATGCTACAATAAAATACGTGGTCTCTCAAGTTGCTCCAGTACTGTGGCCAACAAACACTACATAAGTAGGGGTAATCCAACTGCAACTTCAAGACTGATCTATTTAATTTAAATCATAAAGACAAAAAGATCAACTGAAATGCATGCCATCACTGAGTTTGCCATCTTGAAGTTCACAAAAGGAATTGCAACTCAAGATGCTGGCAATTACCTATGAAATCCTAAATGGCTTGGCCCAAGCACATATTTGGGTTCCATCTACTTATGTATTAAAGTCTCAAAACAAAGCCCAGATTTAATCCTACAGTATTCTTAGTATATTGAACCCTGCAGGGTTGTTAGATATAACAGCACAAGAATTACGAAGAGTGAAGGCTGAATTTGTCAACTTGTGTTTCTGACACCGAGTGAAACAGGAAGAATCCTTTTGCTTCTGGGTTCAAATACAGTGGTACCTCTGGTTACGTACTTAATTCCTTCCGGAGGTCCGTTCTTAACCTGAAACTGTTCTTAACCTGAAGCACCACTTTAGCTAATGAGGCCTCCTGCTGCTGCCGCACGATTTCTGTTCTCATTCTGAGGCAAAGTTCTTAACCCGAGGTAATATTTCTGGGTTAGCAGAGTCTGTAACCTGAAGCGTATGTAATCTGAAGCGTATGTAACCCGAGGCACCACTGTACAGCCTCCCACTCTTAAGTGTTGGCAGCTTTTCAGGAGGCAGCTGTAGACCTATTTACTTTGAAGTATATGGCAAACACAACAGCTGAAGAAACATTACAAGAGCGTTTTAAATACTCACAGGGAACTTTGTAAAGGCAGGATTGGCAACGTGTTTTCCGAAGGCATCTTCCTGAAACTGCAGCAGCTGCACCACAAGCCCAGCCAGTGTTTTATTGGTAGGAGCATCTGCTTGAACATACTGGAAAGCAAACATTTCCTAAATCAATCTTTGTCTTTTCACTCTTCTGGAAAGTCACTCACTAGCTATAGCAACTTTAATGCCACAAATTCAAGGTTCATTTCTGCCATGTTGGTGACTTTTTAATCCTGACTTTTAACAGTTATTCTGCAACACAAGTTAGTAGCTAGTCAGTCAAAGAGGAGCTGTCATTAGATTTAAATTTGCCAAGTTCATTTAAGCTATTAGTTTTCAATACATAAATGCAAACCATCACTGGCAAGGCCAGTACTACACCTGTGTTCAACAGTACCGTATACTACTACTACTCAAATACCGTATACTACTATTACTACTGCTGCTGCTGCTAGTACTACTACTAATAATAATAATAATAAATTATTTGTATTCCGCTCATCTGAGTGGGTTGCCCCAGCCATTCTGGGCATCTCTCAAGCATTAAAAAAGTAAAGGTACCCCTGCCCGTACGGGCCAGTCTTGACAGACTCTAGGGTTGTGCGCCCATCTCACTCAAGAGGCCAGCGCTGTGCGGAGACACTTCCGGGTCATGTGGCCAGCGTGACAAAGCTGCATCTGGCGAGCCAGCGCAGCACACGGAACGCCGTTTACCTTCCCGCTAGTAAGCGGTCCCTATTTATCTACTTGCACCCGGGGGTGCTTTCGAACTGCTAGGTTGGCAGGCGCTGGGACCGAACAACGGGAGCGCACCCCGCCGCAGGGATTCGAACCGCCGACCTTTCGATCGGCAAGCCCTAGGCGCTGAGGCTTTTACCCACAGCGCCACCCGTGTCCCACCTCTCAAGCATTAAGGGCACCCTATTTATATTGCATGGACTTCTTATAAACAGCGCCCAACAGTGGACAAAGCTGATAACCATTTGCTACACAAGATTACGTTCACATTTTTGTCCACTGTTCAAATGCATGAGCTTGCACCAGTAAGAGAAATGCACATTAGTATGAACACATTTCACAAATTAAAGTGATCCTCAAAATCCTCTTTCCGTGGAGCCGTAGCTTGACACCCCGTCTTCATACCCAATTGCAACAAAGTCTGTGTATTGACATTTGTTCACCAGTATCCTGAACTGCCGTTGCCTCTCTCACATCTCTTTCCTCTGTCATCTCGATTGTCAAATTTCAAAGCGGTCACTTCCTTTTCACAGCAACCCAGTTTTTTCACTTATGCTGTAAACTGCCATGTGCACTGACGGATGTGTAAAAGAAATGGTATTTCACAGGAATTTGGAAAGTTTGGTCTAGGTGGGCATTGCTTATGGTCCCCACTAAGCCTTAACCCTCCCCACATATCTAGTCTTGCATTATAAGAGGCAATGTGGAATAATCACACACAGGTGAGTGGGCACTGGGCTGCCATCTGCTGGAGACAAAGAAGTATTGTAGTTATTTCTATCATGGGCATGAAGGAAGCCAAGCGAAGTGCCACCTTCACTGAATCTCTCTGGTATCTCCCTGAATTTCTGAGCTAGGAACAAAGGGAAATTCCCTCCTCTGCATAGAAGCAAAGTCCGTCTTACTAGTCTCCTTTTTCCTTCATAAAAAGAGTTCAGCCTCTGCCAACCACTTTATGAGGAAAAATAAAACTGCAGGTTAGTAATTTCTGTGGGCTTATTGGCAAGGCTCCCTGAGCCCTTTGGCAAGAGATGGAGAAGTGTATGACACCTGACACTGTGCAGCACTTCAGAGGCAAAGCACTTGGGAGTTCTCAGTGATTCTGAGTGCCTCTTTGATCCCAGGTAAAAGCTGGTGTGATTTGTGCTATACTGCAAACATCTCCTAGTCTGATATCCCCTGGCATTAATTATTTACTTTACAATACTGTTATTCACTTGAATGTTATCTGCTGCCTGGTGTTTTGTTAGAGGTGGAGTTAAGTGTCGAAGACAGGGAAGGTGAAAGAGACTGCCATCTTTCTGAGGACTTCACAGCATCCATGTCAACCATGGGGCTGTCCTGGTACTCTAATGACATGTGTGCATTGAAGCAGCAGAACTGACAGCAAGAGCACAGGTGGCATCAACCTTCGACTCTAAATGAACATGGGTGAGAATGCACTACTACACTAACCATGTGGCAGTGATAGCCACACAGAAAGCTTGCTTCTCTGTCATTGCTGAGTTTGCAAACAGCCATTCAGCAGAGCTTTTCTGAGTGATGAATGCCCTTTTGACATTTGGCCCACAAAGCACTGTTCTGACATCTTTAGCAGCCTCCTCTAACTAAGTTGTGCTGTCCTAAGGATAAAGGGGCTCAGATTTGGACAACGTTGGACACCACAGTTACAGCACAGTGACTCCAGCAGAGTTCTCCAGAGCACTGCCTGTTCAATCTATACAGCATCAGTTCCGGTTTTAGCCAGGGGGTGAGGACTACTGCAGCCAGGTTATACCGAACCAGGAATGGCCGTAGTTGGTGAACCAGTAGATGTTAGAAATACCACTGATGCTACTTTGCCTTCCACACAAAGAGAAATCTGGGATGACTCCCAAGGTATGCACCTGGCCGCTTCAAGGGGGTTGCAACTTCGTGCAGAACTGGCCTCTTACCCAATTCCTGGACATAAGAGCTACAAAGACACAGCATCTGTTTTGTTGGGATTCAACTTCAGTTTTCTGGCCCCCAACCAAAGCATTTCTACCTCAAAGCAGTTATACATCCTTAACTGATTAGGGGAGAAACAGGAGCTGGGTGTCAACCGCATACTAAAGACTCTATTCCAACCCTACCCAGATAACCATACAGCTGTTAAAAAGCATTGGGGTCAAGAAGGAGCCCCAGAACCACATAGCCGGCTTGCTATGGGCTCACACAGCAGTCTCCCTCTGCCACTCTCTGGAAACTGCCATATGGATAAGACAGAACAGAACCACCATATCACTCTGCCTTCAACACACAACCAGCAGTGCCACTCCAGATGAATACCACGGAGAACAGTATAAAAAGCCACTGAGAGAAAAACCAAGAGGGTCAATCCTCTCCCAGCACAGGTCATCAACCAAGGCTTCTTCAATGGCAAAATTAGGCCTGAAACAAGACTGAAATGGGTCCAGCAAATCTGCTTCTTCCAACCATGCATGGAGCTGGATGGCAACCATCCTCCCAAGCTCCATCCTCAAAAAGGGAATAATAAAGCCATCACATATCTCTGGGTCTAGGGAAACATGTAGTTTTAATTCTGTATATATGCCCTGGGTTCCTGCATTGATAGTACTTATTTCCTCATCTATTACATTCATGCTTTTAAAGAACACTTCCAACAGTTTCATTCGCTAACCTCTGAGACTTCAATAATGCTTTTTACTGCTATGTTAATAACGTTTTAACTGTCTCAGAGATTATATGCTGCTATGAACGTTATCCCTTTTACTATGCCAAGACATCTCGTAAAAAGGGGAAACAAGCCCATATTTAAAGTTCCACATGGTACGTAATTGCTTGGCTACACACAGAGGACCTTGGACACACTTCATGGTTTCATCATCACCTCAGAAATTAATGCAAAGACAGCTTCAGCTAGACTTAAATGAAACGGATGGCCCTGTCAGCTTACACATCTAGGCCCAGAAGTCCTCTTAGGACAAAAGACCACACGGAGCATGTGCCCCAGGGACCTTTACAAATGGACAACCCCCCCCCCATTTTGTCCCATTATCCCTCTGACCTTATAGCCCACCCTGCAGAAAGGCTGAAAATAAAGAATAACAGCAACCTGATATTTGAAGCAGGGCCAGCTTTAACATAACAAGCCCCACAACTGCAGGGTGAAGAGGCAGCTGGCCCTTTGTTAGCTCTTCCCAGGGAAAGCAAAGACCTTGCCTCTCCAGCACAGAGCCCGCCCCCTTCGCTTCACACAAGAGCTCCCATTCAACTGGAAAAGGCTATCCTCTTTCTCCTAAACCCAGGTAGGTAACAGGACACCCTGACCAAGTCTGAACCAATTTGCCACTCCCCCTTTAAACTACCATTCTCAGGAGACAAGGAGCCCAGGTCCCTGCCCCCAACTATTCCCAGGATTACACTCCATTCAGTTCCTTTCTCTCTTAAGCCACACACACACCCCTTCTATTTATTCATTTATTGAATTTGCATGCTGCCCTTCATTTGCAGGTCTCAGGGAAGCTCACAGCATAAAAACACAAGATAAAAAAATACAAAATTTATAATGAAAACAAGAACAAACCAATGACCCTTCTCCCCTCCACTACTCATTCTGTATGTAAACATCTACATACACAAGATAAACACAAACCACATGACCCGAAAAGGGTCACCCTTCCGCCTGCCAACAATTCAGCACCTGTTTATTGCAAAATGCAAGCTGCACAAGCGTGTTTACATGCACCCCATTAGTCCCAAAGGAAGTCGGCTGGCTGAAGCCCTGCTGATCCACCCCTCAAATACTCTTTATAATAGGAAACAACCTTCCAGAGAGGACGCCCATCCCTCACACCCCCAGTGTTGCCCACCAAGTTGCTCTTAATTCCCTCGCCTACACCTGACTCCCTTTGAGTCCCCACCCGGCTTCCCTCCTCCTCGTTCTGCACACCCTTCCTCGGGAGTAAACCCCTCTGACTTCTGCAGCACTTCAAAGGACTCCCCCCCCCCCGCGCGCGCGCCAGATCACCTCCCATCTTGGGGTTTGTTTTGTTTTTGGCACTCGAATCGCCTCTCTCCGCCAGCCCCGCCAGAGGGAGGCTCCCTCGGGCAGAGGGTCCGGTGCCAGGCTGGGGAGGGGAGGGGGCGGCTTCCCCCCTGAGGCCCCGCCCTCCCTCCCTCCCTCGCCGAGGGAAGGAAAGGGGCCCGTGAGGGAGGGAGGGAGGGAGGGGAGGCGGCGGGGCCCCCTGAGGGGAAGAAGGCGAGGCCTCTTTCTCCTCAGGCGACGCCGCCGCCGCCGGGGCCGGGGCCTGGTCCTGGGCCTCCTCACCTTCTTGCAGTGCTTGCCGAGCCAGGCCCGCGCGGCGTCCAGCTGAGAGACGGTGTCGGGGCTCTCCCAGAACTTCCCCGAGGGGCCGCCGTCCTTGCGCCGCGACGCCGACAACGGGGCGGCGGAGGAGACCCCCGAGCCGGGCGCGCCCCCCGCCGCCGCAGACCCCAGGACGCCGCCGCCGCCGCCGCCTGCAGGCACGGCTGCTGCTGAGGCGGCCGCCGCCGCCGCCGCCGCCATTGTCCTTCCCGGCCTTCCGCGCCTCCTCCGCCGCCACCGCCGCCGGGGCCCGACGCCTCTCACTCTCTTGGCCCCGCGCATGCGCAGAGCCCGCGGGACGCCGCGGCGGCGGCTGCCACACCGCCGCCACTCTCCCGCGCGCACGCGCAGCGGACCAGCCTCCCACTCGCTCTTGCCTCACGCGGCGCGCGGGACGCCGGCTCCTCGCGCTGGCTCAGGAGGCGGGAGTGCTGGCCGGGCGCATGCGCACCAAGGGCCGTTTCTACGGCCGCCCCCTCTTGCGACGCCCTCTCCGCGCAGGCGCCAGGTGGGGGGCGGGCCACGCCTCCTGGAGGATGTGCGCATGGGCGAGGCTGGAGCGCTTTTCCCCACCCCTCCTCTCTGCGCAGGCGTGCCGGGAAAAGCTGTGCGCCTGCGCGCTGAGCGGCCCTTGTTCTGGTCGCTGCCGGGCGGAGCAGCGTGGCGGGAGCTGGAGCAGCAGGCGGGCAAAGCCTCGCTGGCAGGGAAAGCCGATCCCCCAACCCTGGAAAAGAAGCAGCCCGAGCCTGCAGCAGGGTTTGGCGCCAGGGATGCCCACCAATTATTCGGATCTGTTGCGCCTAGTTGAATATGCAGTTAATTGAGCGTGCAATTCTGCATTATGCAGAAGGAGCAAGGACAACAGCAGGAGAGAGAGGCTGCAGAAGGCTGGCTCCATCAGCTTTGCCAAAAGCCCAGCTCCATCAGGCGCCTCCTGCCCCTGAGCTGCCAGCTGGTCAATACAGGAACACCTCGCGAGAAATGGGGGCCTGGGAAAATCCGACAACAGGGCGATGAAACATTTCAAAAAGAATGGAAGAAAATTATGTTGTACGTAGGAAAGATTTGTGTGAAATAGAGAAACCAACAGAATCGAAATAAACCTCATAATGTGTAAGATAAATACTTTCATTGGAATAATAAGTACAATGTAATTAAAGTAACCAATGGTAGCTGCAAATAATATATAGATAGACAACAAGAACTGTATATATAGAAGGGCTTATTTATTTACAATCTATGGACAAATGCGTAAGCAGAACAACAATATATAGAATGCATAAAGACTGCAAAAAAATTAGAAGCGACATAAAGAAGTCAAGAAGGAAGGAGGGAAGTCAGCTCATAGGAGCAAACTATAAATGTATAATATGTATTTGAAGTATGAAGTCTGGAAAACTAATAAAGATTTAAAAAAAAGAAAAGAAATTGGTGCCTGGAAGGTCGCCATCCCCCGCCTTCCTTGTCCTTTATGTGATGTTTTCTTAGATCATAAGCTCGTGGGCAGAGAATGTCTGCATTTTCATTGAGTGTAGCCCTTTTGGCTGACAGCAGGGTACAAATGCTCGAAAGATACAAAATAATAGGGGAGTATCTCAGTGGTAAAGGACCCAATTCAATCATTAATAGCATTTTCTGACAGGGCTGGGAATGTCCCCTGGAGAGCTGCTGGCAGTCACAGACAACACAGAACTGGGTGGTTCAAAGGTCGGACTCCTAAAAAGGAGTTTCCTATGGCAGTGAGAAGGCTAGAGCGGAATGTTAGAAGCTCTTGAAGCTGAGCCACAGCTCAGTGGTACTGCTTTGTGTGGATAAAGTCCCAGGTTCAATCCCAAGCACTGGGCTGGGAAATAGCACCCACCTCAGAAATGCCAGAGTTGCTGTCAGTCAGTGGAGACGAAGCTGGATACACAGCTTTTATGCTCCTAACTTTTAAGAGAAAAATAAAAACTGTCCAGTAGCACCTTAGAGACCAAGCTTGTTCTGGATATAAGCTTTCGTGTGCATGCACACTTCTTCAGATACCACGGAAGCTTATACCCAGAACAAACTTAGTTGGTCTCTCAGGTGCTACTGGACAATTTTTTTTTTATTTCGACTGCATCAGACCAACACAGCTACCTGCCTGAATCTTTGTTTAAGACAGAACAATTCTATTGAAGACCTCATCTGCCAGACTCCCTTCTGAGCTGATTCTGCTTGTGTACAGAACTTAAGTGTTATAGGGGAGACAACGTTATCACTACTTGATTAATAAGAGACCACCAGGAATTAGCTTTGAAAAGGGAAAACACAGGAAAACTACCGCCTTAGTAGTTAAGGGTGACTTCCAAGTTCTTGCAGTTGCCTCCGCACCACGGACTAACCTGGGCGTGCTAAGGAGGCAGGGCTGAAACAAGAAATGTGGGCTGATGAAGCAGAAAAGGAAACAGCAGCCATTCCATCAGCGTGTAAGAGGGAGATGGAGTTGCAGGGCTTCTTCCACTGAAAAACCCGCAACTTTGGGCTCACCCTCTAGCATTTCCATTCCAGTTCACTGCAAGAACTCTGGAAGGTGTCTTGAGTTCACTTCTGCTTCCAGCCGGAGGCACTAATGTTTTCAAATCCTGGTTGCTGGAAACCAGAGTGTGGGCAGTGTGTTCTGCTGAAGTTCTGCTTGCAGGTTTCTCACAAGCTTCTGTTTAGCCACTGTGAGAACAGGATGCTGCACAAGAGAGCCGCTGACCCGATCCAGCAGGTTCTTACGTCCCACCCCCTGGGTGAAGGAAATCTCTGGTATTTGATTTGGGGGCTGTCGCAGTCCAGTACATGGGCGATCGAAGTCCCGGCTGGGAGGGTGCAAGATGGCAGGGTGCGAGCAGGAACGGGAGTCCAGGAATCAGAAAGCCAAGAGTCCAAGGGTCAGAGAGCCGGGAGTCAAGAAGCCAAGGGTCTGAGGGTCAGGAAGCAAGGAGTCACGAAGTCAAGAGTCTGAGGAGCAAGAAGTCACGAAGTCAGGGATCCGAGGATCAAAAAGCAAGGAGTCAAACGCAGCAAGGCAGGGAACGTGTTGCTGTGGCCAAGAGCCGAAGGGTAATGCTGACTTTATATCCCTTCCTGGCTCTTGCCACCAGGTGCTGTGAGTTACCAAGCGGCCTCACCTGTGCCTTGCCTCTTCAGAACAAACTTAGGAAGGCCCCAGTCCTGCAAAGTTCTATTGGTCACAGTGCCTGGCTCCTGCATGCACACCTGACAGGGGCTTTCTTTTGGCTGAAGAGCGGGGTGAAATGCTTTTAAATACGCAAGAGTTGCGAGGAAGATTAAAAATGCAGCAGGGCTGGATAAGACAGGCTCTGTTCAAGGCTGCCTTTGGAAAGTGCTCAGAAACTTCCAGCTGGCTCAAAGAGCTGCAGCCGGACTCTGGAATGGGGCTGGTTTTAGGAAGCAGACTGGCTAGCAGTCTGTTTCAGAGCACAACTCACAGTGCTGGTTATAACTATAAAGCCCTACATGGCTTAGGCCCTGGGCTATGTCAAAGACCATATTCTCCCATACAAACCAGCCTGGGGCCCAGAGATCATTGGTGAGTGAGGCTTCTTTCAGTTCAACCACCATCACAAGCAGGTGACATGGGAAGAGGGCCTGCAAGTCCCTTCCTAGAAGTAGACTGGCTCCCTCTGGCATGCAAAGACCTTTTCATTCTATCAGGCCTTTAGGACCTGGCTGTTTTAAAGGAAAAGCGCTAGTGCTGTGAGGTTTTTATTGTTAGTATCTGTATTTTTTATATAATTTATGTACATGTGACTTAATTCTATTGGTCTTTAATTACTGTTTATTATATACAATTATGTCTTGCCTGTAAAAAGAAATCCTCAAAGTGGTTTAAAAGAAGATAAAACAATAAAAATCAATTAAAAATTGTAATATTTTAAAACATACAAAAGATTAAAATTCACCTTAACTTTCTATTGATACTCTGTTTCTGTTTTTAGATTTTCTAGTTTATCTGTGTTTTTATATTTTTCTCTGCAAGCCGCCTTGAGTCCTTAGGTCTGGGGGGGAAAGCAGAATATAAATAAATGTAAATAAATGCCTGTATCATCTGTGTCCTTTTCAAACCAATGTGTGGGTCTCACCCGGTATGAGTTTTAAAATATTTACTTCTATGAAATGGTGTTTACATGGGGGGTGTTCCACACCTGCTTTTTCCAGTAAATTATGCAACTCCACGGCTACGACAAGAGGAAGTTCTACCTGCTAGGCTACCTTTTCTTTGTTATTCTCATTGTTTGCTTTTCACAAGACCTGGAGAGGTTCTCACCAGAACTCTTGAAAACCTTTGCATGAAACAGTTATGCTCGTTGACTTTTCTCAGCTGTGTTCAACCCAAGGCAAGATGACCCAAAAAACAAATGCGAGTTTATGCAGAGGAAAAGACTTCGCTGCTGTGTTTGGAAGAGCCACTAGCTTTATTTTTTCTCCTGTTTTCGCAGGATTTTTGCACAACATGCTGTGAAGTCATTCCTGGCACATGAGCCTATCATGACTCAAGTTATAAACAGAGCACAAATATGGAAAATGCCAAAATGACAGAAGGGAGTCTACATACAGAACGACACAAAGTGTGTGCCTACTAGACAGTGCTGGTGCTAGCATCGATAGATCCAAGCTCTGGGGGGTGGGGGGGTGGTACAAGTATGACTGGGTGGATTTGGATGTTGTAAAAAAAAAACCTTAGAGAAGGGAGACATTACCAAACTCCTTGAAGTTGCACTAACTTTGACAACCACACCGCACTGCCTCCTTGAACGTTGCCTCCTCTAGGCAAACCTTCCAGTAGGAAGTTCACTGAGCTAATCCTGATGAAGCGTCACAAGAGAAACGCCATGGAATTCAAGAAAATGAATTGTAGGTTATGGAGTAGAATGGAAATCCTTTTCTACTGGAGGCGAAACTGAATCCTCGCCAGCTTTGTTTAAAGACACACACCTATTCCATCAGAGAACGGATTTCAAAAGGTAAATCAAACTACCTGGGTGATTAAAGTATTCTGAAGTTCAAACCCATTTTTTTATATGACCAGATCCTTAATCAGGAGGACAACAACAACAAAACAGCCACCCAAGACATCCAACCTGCCACGTTTTATTTCATGTGTTGGGAGATAAATTAGAACATCCCATACAATGAACAAGATTTACAGTTTCTCTGAAGGAAATGTATAAAAAACAAACAAG